AACATGACTTTCAAATCAGAACATGATATAACGTGCTTACCGAGTGAGTTGTGTTGTCAGTAATGCCAGTTGTCAGTAATGCCAGTTGCCAGTGATGTGCGAAACTCCAGAAAAGTGTCTCCAAGGGGCTTGGTCTTGTCTTTTCATCAATGCTACAGCTAATAAAACCATAGAGTCAAGTAAACAAAGATCAGAGCCGAATAAGATACAAGTAGACATCACCGGGATGTCTTTATATAAAACTCTCATTTTCGTGTTGACCTTTGTTTCAACTCTCTTCAATTGTCGATTGGTCAGCAAACATAACTCCTGAAAAGTTATACTTCTCAAGCCTCGAAGCAGCCATTTTACAACTGACACCCCTCTACTTTCTTGGGCTCTTTTAACAGGCCCAGAAAATAAATATTAAGACCAAGAAAAGTCCAAAATCCTCCAATTTCAATACGATTTTGCATACACCCAAGCGGGTTGGGCCAAAAACTCTCTGATATTTCACGTTTTACTTGCCATCCCAAGTTTATCAATGGTATTGTATTAACCACTCCCTGAAGGGTTACCCATTTTCAAGTACATATGCTTTATACACAGAGCCAGGAGTGCTCGAAACCAGGACAAAAGAACTGGGAATGGAACAATAGACCACGTTCAGCACAAAGGACTGAGCTGCTGGGCATTACCGACATTTTTTCACTCTCAATAGTGGAGATAATCCAACCTTGTTTTGCACAGTATACCATGGTTTGGGGCATTTAGAGCAAGCGGATTACCACCGGGGACAAAAGCACTCCACTACCGCAGCAATGAGCCACACAGCACCGCTACACACTAATCTGGCCTCTACTGAAAAGACTTCAGCAGCACACTGTGCCAGGTTTGTTAACAAAAGAAGGTTACGTAACACTGCACAAGCTGAGCTCTTTTTACAAGGTTGCAGGCCTGGCTGAAATACTCGGGGTCAATGAAGGTTACCTGTCACCTTAGAGTAGCGCCCAAAGATCCCTTTGTGTGGGTATAAACGTCCGTTAAATGAAATGGTTAATTTTTGAAGAATTTTGAAAACTGAGAATCTTGAAAATGACCCGTATGTGGGCACTGCATTTTTCAAAGCACCCGGCAGCATGGGGTTAAATTATGGCTCCCCATACACATGTATATTACCCACGTTTAGACATGGATTAAATTTATCCACAGAGAAGGACCTCCGTCCCTATCAACATTTGGAAAAGAGAAGAGAACTGTAACATAATGACTTCATGCTTAGTTTACATGTGCAGCTAGCAGCGTTTCCTATGGCAGCGAGGTGAAGCAATATAGTCCAAGTAGAAAATAATAGCTTGACATCATTATGTTTTAGGTCCATATATCAGGCATTACAAAAAAAGTATGGAATAAGTTCACAGGAGACTCAATCAGTGAATTATACCTTTGGAATGACCAACAACGATGGACCCACTCACCTTTTACCCAGAAGGCAACAGCAAGAGATCAAAGTACCAATCACCTCAACAATGAGCACAGGAACTCCATCATCAAGAAACTGGATGTACCATGAGTAGCTTCTGCTCTGACTGCAATGGATACACAAAACAGTCATTAAAACATGTAAAAGGAAGAAATGACAATACAGCATGAGTGTATTAGCCTGAATTCACTGATTATAAGATGGCAGTGGAGGATTGACAAAGGTAGAGAAACAAAGTTTTCCCCAACGACCTTCTTCCAGGCATGTGGTTCCAGATAGATGTGATTGAAATTGACACCAAAGAATTATGGTCAAGATGGCTTACATCATACTCCCTAGCCAATGTTGAATCCTTTGTGTGTATGATAGAAGCCAGCCTGTGTTTGAGGATATCATTTCATCATCTGGCAGTTTGTACAATTGCATCACAATTGTATCAACGCAGCTTCTGAAACATTGTCCAACCATATGGTATAAGATCCGACACAGCATGCGCAGAATGACCAAGCAACATACATGGAAATCACTGAACCGATTTTGTAAAGATCAAGATCGAGATTCCGCATACCTGGGGCGGCAGCGTGCAAAGAGCGAATTGTACCTACTGTGGGCTAGCATGCCATATTGTAACAACCTGATGCATTGCACCTTTAATGTCTTTGACACAGAAAGATGGCTTCAGTGAGTAAAAAGTTGGCTGATAGAAGTAAACAAGTCCAGATTTTTTTAAACGACCCCTGTGGAATGTGTACACTCATCCTTGCACGTGATTTGGATCCATGAAAGAGGACATTTCATTTCAGTACACTCCCCATTTACTACCCGCAGCCTGTAGATGCAGCTTCTGTCTTGTTTCTGTTCACTTTGGCACAAATTGTCCAACCATACCAAATAATTCCATCCATTTTTTGTAGTTTAATTCAACCCAACCTTAAAGGCCGGAAATTCTCATTAGTTGAAAACTTAAAAGACAAAACCCAAGGTCAAGATCTACAGGACAACCAGGCATTTCATTATTATCATTACCATGGACTAATATCAGAATATGATGTAGACTGTTTCCATACCTGTTGAGTAGTGTCACCAGTGATAAGATATCTCTCATTTGTTACACTCCAGAGAACGGCCTCCAGGGACTAGCTTGCTCATCTCTCTGTCAAACTACTGAAACTAGGGAAACTAAATAAACCATGTTTTAATTCCAATCTGCACACACATAGAAGCCACAATTTCAAAATATATAGGTTGCACTTTACAACAGTAATTGAAGCATCATTGAAACGAGTGTCAAATCAACGAAGATCAGGGCCAAATAATATACAAGCCCACATCACTAGAGTTTCTTTTATAAAAATCTCATCTTCTCAGTTGTTATTTTTCCATTTCTTTTTAATTGGTACTTGATTAGCTAAGTAAATTTTATTCTTCAAAACACCTTAAATACACTTCCAAAAAAATCCTTTTCCTCAAGCTTGTCAGCAGTGATTTAACAAATTACATCCATCTACTTTTTGCAGTTCTTAAGATTTGTTTTCAACCATCTACAGATGCAAGACCACAAAACAAAAAGTGTTGATCTGGGGCTATATTTAAACAATCTCACCTAATTTTCCAGCCAAACAATCTCTTCAACCTGCCTTGAGTAGAAGCACAACTTAATTGGTTGAAAAACGCCGTGTTGGTTGGGAGTATTCATTTTGTTGGTGGTGATGGGGCCGCACATCTTGTATGTCCTAGTCGTTCATGATCCAGAGATGCACAGTTTGTACCAAAGGAGCCTCTGATGCCAAGGAAATAGTGTTCTCTTTCGGTCCAACTAAAGGCCAATACAAAAGATGACAGTCTGTGCAGAAAAATTCCCAAATTATAAACAGTATTGGCCGTATCCTCCAAGGGTTTATGTGAAATCTTATTGAAATCTTAGGATTTGGGGGACCATTTGAGCTATGTTATAGCTCCCTATATATATGTCACCCAGTATTTGGGCAAAATAAATTTATCCAGCAAGGATGACCCCTAAATACAATGTAGACATAATGATATCACACTTGGTTTACACACGATACAGTGAAGTGGGGTAGGTCTTAATGTACTAGGTCTATAGGACATGAGGGAACAAGTTCACAGGAGACTCAATCAGTGAATCATACCTTTCGGATGACCAATAACAAAGAATCACTCACATTTTACCTAGAAAGCTATAGCAAGAGATCACAGTACATTGGCCAAGAAGCTGGTCGTCCTGAAAGCAATGACTTAATTATCAGTGGCTTGTGCTCTGGCTAAAATGAATGCACGTAACAGTCATTAACCCTAACACTCCTCAGTCCTCCAACAGGTGAAGGATTGAGGGTTAGGGTTAAACATACAAAATGAAAAAATGGCAAGAAAATGAGTGGAGGCGCCTGTTTGCTGATTCTCAGAGGGCTTTGAAGGATCAGAGAGATGGAGAGATTAACATTTACTGTTGGGCTGTTATCAGAAGTAGGCTAGGCCTACAGTGTTGTATGACGTGATCTGTTTCCATACCTGCTGAGTACAATAAAGTGTCAGAATACATCTCAGATGAGCAACAATCCAGAAAACGGTCACAAAGGAGTGTTCCTCGTCTCTCCATTACTGCTACAAGTTAAGAAACCAATGGAACCCTGTTAAAATCCCAGCCTGCATGCAAGTCACTGTGGGGCCGCCATGTTTAACTACAGGGTGCACTTTACCACAGCAAAAGCAGTGTAAAATCAACAAAGCCAAGCCCACATTTGTGGGGTTTGTCATACGGAAATCTCATTATCGTCTTTGCCGTCATTTCTCCATTTATTTTCAATTGTTGCATGGTAAGCCAATGATATTTCGCACCTTTGAACTCACCTCCTATGAAGTAACATTTAAATAACCCGCCAACGTGGCCACACATGCGTTCTCGTGGGTAGGCATTGTCATGCTGATACTCGCGCCACCGTGGAAAACTGGTCGTCAATCAACTTTCGCACATATTGAGCAGGGTACCAAGCAGGGGGTCAAACGGCGCTGGTGATTGGCGCGATGGCGCGCTTGAAATAGGCCCTGTCAGTACAGTGGTAGTGGACGTGTACCACGAAGATTAGTCTTGGCCCAAGACGTCAATGATTGATAGTTGTTTATTTCTGTTGAAGAGCGCCCTCGCAAAACTCGTTTTTACTTACTCTCACTAACGTCTTGGGAATCTTGCAGGAATGGGGGTGCAGCAGTTGTATGCAAATGACTGATCGTTCCCGAAGACAGTCATACAAAAAAATACCTTCTGGCAATTTGGGCTGAGATGTGTTGCGCAAGCCAGCACGGCGGTGGCCTTCAGGAGATTGCGAATTGCGAAACGTACCATTTCTGTGAGGGGAGGCCGAATTGGACATGCACGTCACCTTGCTCTTCTGTAGCGGAAACCAAGAGTAGCTGGAGAAGGCGAACGGTGGCCCAAGAAAGGAGATTACAGAGCCGATTTCAACTACGTGGGAGAAGGGGCGGCTGGGGGAGCGGGACTAAAATGAACTCATTCATTTGTGTAAATTTGGTTCTATTTACAGTGGATAGTCAAGAGTTCTGACCGATTTCAGACTTCCCCATTGATTGTGTACTTTGAAAAGTGTCGCTAAGGCCCTAATAATAATAAGTGTCGCTAAGGCAATAATAAGTATGGATGCATTCAACCAAATGGTTGTATTTCTGCGCGCAAGCTCATTAATATTTTGTGATCCCGCGGGGTTTTTACAATAAGACGTGCCATAAACAGGACGCATCATGGAAACATTTCTACAAAACTCGAATTTGGAACTGATAGTTTCGAGTTCGGGGTATTTTTCACAAAAAGCCCAATATTGCGGGCCTATTTTGGATACAGGCAGACGACTACATTCAGAAATGAGCGCTTAGTTTCACAGCTGTTTTGGGAGTATCTTCCTTGAAAGGCAAATAAAAAATAATTTCGTGGCTAACCCCCATAAAATTGAAACGAAAAGTGATCTTCTGGCAATAATCGTGAATTCCCATGAAAAAAAAACGGAGGCTAAGTATATCTAAACCTGGATCGCAAGTTCTTTCCAGTGATTTTAAGCATTTTCTTTTAAACAAATTTTGGGGGTCACCAAAAAAAGTTGTGCCCTCAAAAAAAGGCCATAACTCCGTGACCCTTTGACCTATGACCCTCAATCTTAACAACAAGGTAGATGAAGAGTTGCGCTACTTTTCCTAAAAGTTTCAAGATCAAAGGTCACGGGAGTCAAAAGTTACTCAGGGTCACCAAACGGGGAGACCCCCTTCAATCCCTAACCCTAACCCTAAGCCTATGGCGAAAAAGGCATAGGCCCTAGTAGTAGCGGACGTCTGACCCCATGGGGTACGATAAATCATTGAATTTTGGACTATAGTCCAAACTTCAATATGATTTGGTGTGGTAAATTAAGAGGAAACACTTTATTATACACCGGCAAGAATTTGTCAGGAACCCAAAGTCTTTGAAAACAAATATCCACTGGGCCTACATAGGCCTTAAATACATGGGACAAACTGTCCATCTTGCCCACATTAATTTCAGTAAACCTGGTGGCTGGGGAAAACTTGGCATAAAGTAGGCCTACTTTGACAATGGACTCCACTCGACTTCTGGTAGCTTCAGCGATGTCTGTGTAACGGATGCTGCATCGCCCTCAGGTCAAGAGTTTATTATATCCGTCCGTCGTGAGGCAACCGTGTAAAAAGAGGAGCTGACCAAATTTAAAGTAGACAGTGGGGGGCAGCAGTGTATGGGAGAGCTGGCAAGATAGTGGACGGATGCGATGGACCACCGTGTAGGAAGAGGGGTGGACCGATGGTAGCTGGGGGCACCATGTAGCAGGAGCTGGCCGACAGCGACGGAGGTGGGTCATCGGGTAAAAGGAGGAGCTGGCTGACAGCAGACGGAGGTGGGTCATCGGGTAAAAGGAGGAGCTGGCTGACAGCAGACGGAGATGGGTCACCGTGTGGAGGAGCCTTTCAGACAGGGGACAGAGATGGGCTACCGTGTAGGCCTAGACAGGGTAGAAGGCTGACAGCAGACGGAGATGGGTCACCGTGTGGAGGAGCCTTTCAGACAGGGGACAGAGATGGGCTACCGTGTAGGCCGAGATGGAGGAGAAGGCTGACAGTAGACGGAGATGGGTCACCGTGTGGAGGAGCCTTTCAGACAGTGGACAGAGATGGGCTACCGTGTAGGCCTAGACAGAGGAGAAGCGAAGGCTGACAGCAGACGGAGATGGGTCACCGTGTGGAGGAGCCTTTCAGACAGGGGACAGAGATGGGCTACCGTGTAGGCCTAGACAGAGGTAGAAGGCTGACAGCAGACGGAGATGGGTCACCGTGTGGAGGAGCCTTTCAGACAGGGGACAGAGATGGGCTACCGTGTAGGCCGAGATGGAGGAGAAGGCTGACAGTAGACGGAGATGGGTCGCCGTGTGGAGGAGCCTTTCAGACAGGGGACAGAGATGGGCTACCGTGTAGGCCTAGGGAAAATTTGGGTCTGGATTCAACCTTTTGCAGGCCTGTCATAAGATCACATGTATTAGGACACGAAAGCAATCCCTTCAGCACTACCCATCACAAAGTCCAACCACGAACAAACGCGTAGTGTACTTGTTTGCGACAGGAGAAGTCAGTACACCACAACTCAGTATGTTGCGACATATCAGTAAAACCATAGAGTGGATAAAGAGAAAGAAATAGAGGGCGCCATCGCGCATCGCCTGACGGAGAGAAGATAGGTGTCATCAAAAATATTAAATATTATATAGAATTAAACTGCAAAACTTTCAAACAATAATAACTTGCATAAGACATGCTAAAGACTTGATCTCCTCGTAATGATTATATTTCTCGAGCCACAAGCAAGAATTGCAATTTTTTCATAATCATCAACGCAATCCTTCCAAGAGGAAACGAACTCAAAATCTTTTCCCAAACAAACGAAAGACTGGCAAAAAACAACCATCTAAAGAGAGTTGGGCGAGTTGCTTATTTGTTCCACACGGTCAAAATATCAACTGTCTATTACAAAAGATATTCTTCCCAAATTTCACAAATCGTCAACGACAATTTTAAAGACAGTTTTGGTAACTACACAATAGAAGACCATTTTCCAGCCTTTGATCTCACTCACAGGCCATTCTTCATTGTAGTCTCAGAGGTTTGGAGAGTATAATTACGAAGGCATTTACGAGAAACACAGGTAGCAGTGCACGGACCTCTAGGCAAATTATGGTTAGCTGACTTCTACTTAGCCTTGTTATCACAGTCCAGGAGTGAAGAAATTAACCTTCCACGCTACTCCCTTTAGAGTGGACCTAATGTTCAGCATATACGGAGACTGATGTTGAGTCCAGTAACATCATTTTAATATCCCTAAAACATAGTTACCTCTGTCGAATCATTAAATATCCTGATAACGTTGTAACTAAAAGACTTCTCCCAACCCTTCAATCCTTGTGGTCAATTACATTTATTGTCAGTAGGTAAAAAAATAGACAAGGCAACCAACATAACAATTTTGTCCAATCGCAATTTTAAACTTTTTCTCATTATTATTCAAAGTATTTTGAAAAAAATTATTATTTTACACGCCCTTGTATTCATATAAAATACAAATATTCCTGTACAAGGCATGGCACGTGGCATTGCACATAAACATACACGTAAATATGGTACACAATTACAAAAATATTTCCCCGAAATTATACAGATAAAGTATCATTGTGAAAATTCCAAATTAATTTACTGTTACTGTCAAGAACAATTAACCTGCCCCGACGGCGTTATTGAACTTTAATTCAAGTGGTTAGCTTGCTTCAAACCTTTATGACAAATTAGTAATGATAATTGGATGGCTGGAAACTCATCTTCTCAATAAATTGTAACAAAATAATTCAAATCAATATTTTTTTCTCAAAAACGTTGAACGCTCTTTGTCCATGTCTATTGGAATGTCTCATGAAAGTGTTCCTCACTCAATGAAGCACTAGTGCTGCCTTCATGAGATTTCTATCAATCAAACATTGACAGATGAATTGGACGTGTTTTGAGACGAATACGGAGACGGAACAAACTTTTTTACTTGTCCTTTCATCCGGATGACCAAGACCATCATTCCAATAAGCAAAAGAAGGAGGACGGTTACCACAACAACCACAATGATGACAATGGTCTGAATCTGCTCCTGTGACCATAACGTTGATGTGTTTGCAGTAACGTCGATTTCGTCCTCAGGAATTTCTGCATAAATGAATAAAATGAAGGCGTCATCAAACAATTAATTTTGTTGACCACTTGTACTGCATTAAAACGCCCTACATTTTGTCCCAAAATGACGAACACCAAACAAACTCCACAACAGATTATTGTTTAAAAATTGGCACAAAAACACAGTTGAGGGACTAACAACTCCTGTATAAATCAATTATGCATGCAGTCGTTTACTTACGTGTTTCATAAGAACCCTCAGGTTGCTTTCTCTTTGGTGTCTGTGCAGTGGTTGCGTACGGCGCTACAGACGTATGCTTTGCTGGCTGAGGAATCGGTGGCCTGCAGGATTTCGTACCAAAGTCGAAGTGCCAGGCTGGGTGAGTGCATTCGTTAGTGGGACTACACACGGTGTCTGTAGTTCGACGGCATTGATGGTCTACTTTTATTCCATCGCCACACTGTGTACACGGAACGCAGGTATAGTACCTTCAAATGACACAAATAGGACAAGTGTGAAAGAACTGGAAAAGAAAAGAAATGAAGGCCTCATTTCAGACCTACGTCACAAAAGTAATGTTTGCCCGACTGATGAAGTGAGAACGTCAAAAATTAAACCTCTTCACAAAACATTCATCCACGTAGACCTAATTAACATGCGTGCATGCATACTCTCTTGGAATTATAGATTCCCGTTTTGAGTTTAAGTTATGTGTTTAAATTGCAATCGAAGAAAAAGGAAAAACAGTCCATGAATGTGAAAAATTGAGATTACGTTCGTGGCCATTGGCTCGGTATATTTGAATAATCCTAATCTTCATATTTTAAGTGAGTGTACAGTGAATTTCGATTGCTGTGTTCGCGTTTAAAAAAATGAAACAAAACTAATTTGGTACAAAATTTAATAAAATACAGGAGCAGACGCATTATTTATTTAAAAACTCCTGTACGTAAATCATTATCGCTGAATCGAGTAACTGGTTCAAAGTTTTTTGTGATATATAGTCTATAGAAATAAAAACAGCTAGTGGATCTCTTAAATCAGAAAAAAAATCAACGGTTCCCATTTAGTTCATTAGTATGTTACCAGGCAAAATGCGCCAACCTTTCTGAACTTTTTGTAGTCCCAATACAATTGCAATTTAACGCAGGATGATCACACAAACGTAATGTTCAATGTTAATTACTGTTGCGTGGATTTAATTTGATAAAGAAAACTTACTGTTGCCTTTGTTTGGTACCATGGACACGATTAAATATCCTTATTCCTTTTTCCAAGCTCCACTCTTCCTTCTCTTTGTTTGTTAAGATGCGTGCATATTGCCCACGACAGCACCCAGGAAACCTCGCCAGTCTGTCTCCGATGCACGCATGCTGCGTGGTAGCGTTTACAGAATGCGCCGAAACGAAAACCACTAATAGAAGAAGCATGTTGCTCCATCGGATGGAGGAAAAAGTCTCACTTCGCATCATTCCGGAATCAGTTCGTGTGTTGACATGTGGAGTAGTCAGACACATGTGTGGTTTATACGTGAAAAGGTTCTGAGTTGAGCAATCCGTCACGGTTTTCTTATCAAAATGGCTGTTTCTTTTGCCAACTTTATCTCTCCCTCAAGTTGTTGTGTCATGGTTATAGTCACTGAACACCGTTTAAAAGAAGTAGCTACTAGAATCGATCCACTCTCCCCACAACTTCCAAGTTGACTGTCTTGTCCTCTCTCTCAAACTGCAATGCTGACAGACTTCAGTTCAGAGACTTTTGATGAATTCGTACGTCATCAATGACTCATACCTTTGCTCAGTGCTCTGATGCAGTACATAGCGATACAGTCAGTGCCAAGTACACAAAGAGATAAGAACAAGGTCACAGTGTCGCGGCATTGACGTCAATGCACACCGCACGAAAAACGTGGGTGCAGTTTGTCCCCCCAAAAAAGAATAGGTCGGTCTTATGAGGTAATTGCCAAAAAAAGTTCAGCTCAAGTTATGCCTGGTTGCTATGTACATTTGTACATTGCAACCATATCCACGTACATACATGTACATAATATGTACACATCCACGCCACGTTCATATCCACGCCACCGGTACCACAAATGTTCCAGAAAATTCAACAAGACTTGATATATAGGCCTAAATTAATGTATCAACTTTTTACTCTTTCATTTTTGGCAAATGATTTATTTCGATTGCATACGGAGCACAAACGTAAGTTGCAACCCTGACATTATAGCTGCATGAAAATCTGAATTCTCTGGCTTGAGTGGGCGTCTTCGCCCCGGGGCAGGATCTCACATACGCTCCGTCGCCATACGCCTTGCATGTTTCGCGTCCCTCCTCCCCGAACTTAAAATGACCGTCACAACAATTTCGGATTGAGTTGAAAGTACATCTGTCATGGTTGAGGAGTATTTCTACATCCACGCCGAGTTTTAAAAAACGGACATGAGACAGAGGGGGATGGGCGGAATCCGCTCCCCGGCTGTGAGATGGTACAAAATAAGTGACCTCTAGGATTAATTCATTTCATTTCAATTTATCCAATTTCCTCAAATGTTACCTTGTGTCATGACTCATGGTAAATAATGTCTCACATTTTTTGTTGAACATTAGAGAGGTGAGGACTCGGAGGTGGCCACTTTGGGCCACGGTCTGCACCGCGATCCACTCCTCTGGAGATTTCCTATCCAAACTGAAATGAATTAACACGCTACGAACGCAGATCAGTTAATTTAACGTGAAACTTAAGGGTAGCAAATCATGCCCGCCTGACGCACGTTGTAAGCGAAAATGGTGTTTCTCCATGCTCTTGATTTGATTCCTCTTATGACCCCCCTCCAAAAAAAGCATTTCTGTAATGCCTAGTACCAATTAACCTGTTCATGCGTACTGCGTGATATTGAAAATCAAACGGTAGAACAGAGTTCACGTAAACCCTAGAAACGTCGCTATTGTGAAACATCAAACTTGCTGTGAGCGAACCCGGAACAAGAACACGTGAAATAAAGATTACGTCTTTCGTTGCCCCGACAGCATAAAAACACAACAAAAACGTATTGTCCGAAATTGACAAAACGGGGTCACACTTTTATATTTAATTCTTTTCCGTGAGCGAGACCGGATATGGATAGTGCCCACAGGGAGAGAGTCTGTATGAGCAGTTTCCGTAGATGTTGATCCATCTCGTCCAGTGTGCTTGATGTATCCAACAATTACACACTCGGGAAAATCTTCCCCTAAAGAAAAGTTTTACTTTGAGCAAATCAGTCCATAGAAAATGGCAGACAAAGGTTATATGCTTTTGTTAACATTATGACCATTGCTTCGTCAAATGACTGGAGGTAATAAGTAAATAATGGGGATGTTGAATTTAAGACATTCAACTTAAAATTACAAAGCAACTGCAACATTAAATCTATTATGATGTTATAATAGATGACATAAAAACTTGAATTGAATCGTATGGTTAGGTGAAGATAATTGGACCTCCACATAAAAAAGATGACGTTTGAAATTAAACTTTCAAATGTAGACTTCTGCTCCTACTGCTAACAAATGGATTGTTACGCAGCCTAGCTTATTCAATCTTGCATAAGTTATAACAGGTTCTGTCCAGGATTCTAAAACCAGGCTTGTATGACTCGCGTGACTCGGACTCGAGGCTGCGGACTCGCAGTCGGACTTGATATGCATGGCTTGTGACTCGGCAGAAATTATGTCGTTGCGTTGTGTTTTCACTGAGCAAAACAGCGCGTGATGCCAGTACTTCAGAGCACACGTGGTTGCCAATTGATTAGGGAAATTAATGTCCCAAAACATGTACCCTGCCGTCCAAAGTTGATACTGCATTAATACGTGATGATGTACTCGGTATCAGACTATTCTTGTCGGACACAGACTGGTGCCCTGCCAAGCAACAGCGCCGGATCACGCGAAGTGCTGCTTGACGAATCTCAGTTGAAGCTGGGTAAAGTCTGAAAGCGGCTGCATTTGACTTGAAAGCACGAAAATCGGTCATGGCATCATCCCAAAAGTAGTCTGCTCTGAGCAACCCTTTGTAAATGAGCCCTTTATTTATTGAAGTTTATTTTCAAGTTAAAATATACAACGGACGGGGCATATTTTGTGGTTGCTTGTACATGCTTCCAGTTCATTAAATCAGACAAAAGCTGTGGTGAAAAATGAAAAATTTGCAGAACCTGAAAATGTGTTTCCAATACAATAAACCTAAATGGCGAGTAGGACTTGGACTTGACCTTTATGATTCGTGACTCGGTTTAGACCCAAATGACTAGGGATCAGACTCGAGAGATGTGACTCGGACTTGGACTCGATATCGATGTTTCATGACTCGAGTACAAATCTGTCTAAACTCAAATTGGTAATTACATGTGCAATGTTTGCTTTACATTAAATAACATGAACATTCTGTACAGTTTTTTGGACAAAACAGCTCTCATGTTTGACTGAGAAAGATTGCCTGACTTTTGTCACACACTGGATTGAATTATTCAGTGCGAGTGAGCTATAAGAGGAGAAGACGAATCCGTATTTAATATCTTAAAACTGGTGCATTACGGACATTTTGTGCACAAAGACATCCTTGGATGGTCCTTCCGCATAGTTTCCTTATTCCCCCTACAAAGATGGTAACTGTGCAGAGAGCCAGGGTGTTTTATTGACGACTTCGCACTTTGCCCTGTCATTGTCTACCGTGATTGCCAAAGTACATAGACAATCAAAAGACGCTTCCTGTTTTTAATCTCAACGATTTCTGTGTTATCTATTTCTAACGCTTTTCAGTGCAGTGTTAGGATCTGAGTATGCCGCTGAATAGGGGCCTAAGCACAAGCACCCAGAAGACCCGATAGGTCCTAACTATAAACTTAATGAACAAGTCTCATACGTATCGAACAGTGATGTTAAATTCCTGTAGAAAAAAAGTCGGCTGACCATTTTTGGAAATTAAAAACAGGTCATTACAACAGTTAGTTTAACCTCACAGTGGTCAATACATGTACTATCGAAGAAACTAAGAGAAAACGCAAGGAATTAAATGCAGTTAAGGCAATATTGTATGTAGTGCCAGTAACTGGCACGTAGGCCCCAAAGAACCAATATACACAGTTCTTTCAATGTCACCAGCTGTATCAATAAAAATGGATTTCCATTTTCCACAATGTCACATTCCAATCACAGGATGGTTAGTGTTCGACTGTTGCATAAGGTCACATTGAAGGGAGTGCACGAGTAGACTGATGGGTACTGATCACTGCGTAATCGTTGTGAACAAAGAGTTCTTAAAAAATAGTTCTTTACGATGACCAACATCAGTAAGCGAAATCAGCCCGCTACTGTGAAGAATTGAAAACTTTGGGGACAAATTATCTAGAACATTAAAATTTGTCTTCCAGGAGGCTACCTTTCAAAATAGAAAATACCGTTTGAAAAAAGTCACTTTAAGTTTTGGAGGAGACTAATTCCATCATGAGAATAAGTCTGGACTTGTTTTTCTGTGATCGTGTTTCATTTCTAAAGCATTGATAACACCGGATGTGTTAAGTCAATGACTGCACAGACTGTTCGTGAAAGACAGATAAACACAGAAATAGTTCAAGTGTGTTCGGGCTCAACATTTTGAGAGACTGAAGGATTAGCTCCTCAACCTTTGAACCGTTATTCGATTGGCTTAGAGGAAGTATCCTGGGACTGGCTTATGGTTGCTGGAAATAGAAGGCAACATCAAGAACAAAAGACGTGCTACTTTTTTGCCTTTCACGGGCTCCCTTCCCTTTTCCAACTTGCTCCCATCTTTGCGTGGAAGTCAGTTGTGACGCGATAATAATTATGAAAGCAGCTTCTACTTACTCAGGCACAAAATAATTCTGTCAACGATCATACTTTTCGGTCTTTTTCTTCTCTTTTTAATTGCAAAGAAGCACTTTGACAAATTTAATATTCTCAAAACTGACAATATTATACAATAAGAATTGTTGAGCAGTGGCGGTAGCGGGGACTGAGAAAAGTGGGGATGACTCGCACAGCTGGAAAAATGAAAAGCGGGTGGGGGACACCATACACACTATAAGGGAGGGGGGGCGATATTCATAATATAGATGTACATCTGTAATATGTATTACATTCATTGCGATTCTTTCGTCAGAATGGTATATTTACATTTTCCCTCTCTCAGTGATTTTGAAAATATTTTAGTCGTTTGGAAATCCACAAAATTCTTCACAATACGCTTCCATTTTTTCTTATCCCCCAAAAAGATGCGGGTTCAACAGCCCATCCTCCCTCAAAAGTGGAGGGGATATATACCTCGGTCCCCCGGATTTACACCCGTGATAACAAGGTCATTTACAGTTTTTTCTGTGTGCAATCATAGATAAACATCTTTCCTGTATGCAGGTGTGGTTTAATTCTGACCTATGTTTCAGGATTGGAAAACATATAAGTAAGAAGAGTTCCCAAAAATCGTTATTGTCCTTTGCAGCTTTACTATAAATAATGTAATTCTCGATAAAGATGCTAAAAATGTTAACCTTTCTGCTTTCGGTAATAACATTTTTCCTGCTTAACATAAAATGTGACCAGACACTGATCATCGGCACCCTTTTATCACATTGAATCTGTGAAAGACTGACTACTTGACATCAACTGCATGGGCTGTCATTCCATTAAAAATTAATTTCCTCTGGAAGATTTTGTTTTCATTGCTTTGTGTCATGCATCGCATCGAAACTAATTTAAAGAGTTGTTCTTCCGGCAGCTGCTTGATCTTTCCTCTATTCGTTCCAAGCAGATTCTGTTTACAGAAAGATTTTTAAGATAATTATTTAACAAAGTCCATCCGCGCTACTGTCATTTTACATGTTTGCAAAAAAACAAAGGAGCTCCCCCTCCTTTGCATAATTATGCTTGAACCAGTGAACAAATGGAAAATGGCGTGGGAAATAATGTGAAGACATTATTACTTTGGGATGACTTCACGAGGTGCATCAGACTGCCTGTAAACATATAAAGTCAAAAAGTCATTCCTAACGATACGTAAAGCCAGGCTACGTAAACGGACAGAGGTCAGAAAACCAACTAGTAATGGAGTTGGAAAGTTGAAGTCAGACAAGTGTGCATATCGAAAAAAAAGAATGGTTTGCATGCACTACACATGTTTTATCGAAGTAACGTGCATTAGTATTAGCATAAAATGCTAAAATTTTATTTATAAAACACCCGAAATCATTTCCTCAATGAAACACATACAAGTACCAAGACGTAAGAATAATATTTGACTGGCAAGTTTACTGTTGCATTCATTTCACAATGCACTATTTGTATTCATTGTCAACTTAACCCACCCTATTGACGTCATAACCGGCCTTGAACGTATACATTATTCAGTAATTCAGTGAACCAAGGCGTTTCCCACATAACTCCGAGTCCACTAAAATTTAGAATGAATTGAGGAATGAGTGAGTTACTTTCAGGTTACTGACAACACACAAAGTCTAAAATGCCTTTCTTTCGACATGATTTGAATTACTTTCGTACAGTAGTTATTTTTTAATTCTAAAAATAGCCGTACCCTACACTGCAAAAGGTGAGGTGTTAAATTTAACCCCTGGTGTTATCAGCCAGAGGACTACACCAACACTTTTCAGGGGTGTTACAATGCTGGTGTTATTTGGTGCACCCTCCAGTGCATTGTAACATTTAAAAGCGTGCAAAGTAACACCATGTGGTGTGGTCATCTGATAAAACACCAAAAAGAGTTGCAGTATACGAAAGCTAGGCATAATTATAGAGTACTTAGTCACAACCAATGCCAACACAATGACTCGGCAAGGATCACACTGTTTTGCTTCTCGACCCTGTCAGAGTCAAAGGAATTTTGTTCAACTCCATTAATTCTTAAGCAAGGCTACAAAATGAAATGGATGTTGTGAATTCGAGGATTCCATTGTCCAAATCATAAGAGAGTTGCACTCATTTCAGTGGCTGGTTCGAGCAGTTCAGACTCCATAAACCTGTTTAAATGAAAAGTCATGACGGACAGAAAGAACACACAAACCAAACAAACATCGTGATTTGCAGACTCCTATTTCCGTCTGTATGTGAGTTTCTTCTTGATCTCCGTGTTCAGGTGTTCAAATATCAGTGACTCTAATATTGACCGACTTTATATGCTGGACTCAGCATTCATTCAAGCACAGGCTTTGACTTGGCTCGACTCAACTTAGTCACTAATCTTGATGGATCACTTGAACTGATTCGACCCGAGTAAAATCACAAATGCATTGACCCTTATAAGTTTTACTTAAGTTGTATGAACGCCAAGTTCATTAACACTTCACAATTCCGAAAAATTATGAACAAACTGCCGCTCGAGTTTCGACCATTTACAAAACACTATTCTGAGCACATGAACACTGAATCCTAAAGGAAAGGATTCAGACCAGGATGAAAGGTTCACCAGAGAAAAGTGTATTTTCATTTCGATTGTGACAAACATTCCTTCCTTGTTATTTCTGTATAAAATCCCGTAGCTCAGTAGATTTCAACTGTGCCGGTTATAAACGGATAAAATTTTAAAAATACCAACTTTGTTCCGTGAAACCGATTATTATATACGTACGAGACCCGTTGGATGTGAACGACGCCCTCTTTGAGTGCAACGTGCGCCCCAGCCAGTTTTAATGGCGCGAAAGTGAACGCATTGTTCACATAGCGAGTCACAAAAGTTGAATACATTAATTCAACTCGAGCAGAGTTTTGCTGCAAATCTTTCGTGACGCCCAATTCGCCTCACTTTCACAGTCGCCCGTAGCCTGAACGGCCTTCCGTCGGAACTGGGCAAAATCCTATCTGGGTCCGTCATGTGCCGTCTATCTGACCTCTTTGGTCAAGATAATTAAAATCTTTTTAGAAGGATGAAAACACCAGTAGAGTGAGGATATACAGTCGAACCTCATTAATAAGAGGTCGTTTGGACTTGGATAATCACCTTATTATAACAGGAACCTTGTATTATAAGGAATAAAATAATAAAAACAAAGGATTGGGACCCCAAATTCCTTGTTATAAGCAGAATCTTAACAGTGCTCTTCTTAACGAAGTTCGACTGTAAGTATCTGAGCGCAATTTTCAGTCAAATTCCAAAAGAGGGGGAGGCAGCTATAATATTGTGCAGGACCCTCACTAAAAGCATCATCCCTTTTCCTTTTTCCATTTCAAGGCTTGTTCCACAACTGGACCAGCTAGAGCTGTCTATAAATAGAGTTGCGACAGCTTTGGGGGAAAAATGGCTGTTCATTAATTGTACAGTAGAGGTGCTGCTATTGTATACCATTGTCCACACATACTGGTGCATACACCTGCCAGTTGAGTTTCAACATTGGTCACACCTCATGTCGCAACTTTCTCTGTACACTGCTCTGATTGGGGCATACGCATACACTTTGACCGCCCTTATATCTGCATGCATTTTATTTCAATTGTACATGCATGTGTGGAAAGATATCTTGCCTCCTTTCTTTTCTCTCCCATTGGTCTTTATCGGTTATTTTAAATTACTTTTGAGCAGTAACGTATCCAGCTTTTGGTCGGGGGGGGGCGGACTCAAAAGCGAATGCGGCTTCGGGCTTATTTTACATACCGTTGGGGGAGAACAATCATCAAAAGCCTTACTCACTGTCCCGAAATCCTAGCTTCTATTTCATGGCGTTGTCTTCTTAGGGTTTTGGTGCTAGTATAAACGAAAATAAAAATGAAAAAAAAAATCCGTCGGGTTTTCCCCCTACCCCACGCAGCAGCTTTTAAGACAGAAAGGTTCCCTTGTCGGCTTCATGTATATGAAACACTAGTTTCACACACAAACAAAAATGGCTCACGTGTATGGTTGGCGCCTCTTCCGCCTCCCCCATTCGTATACCTACAAGCATGTGCTGACAAGCATGTGCTGACAAGCATGTGCTTTTAGTTAATTTAGTTTTATTTACAATACATGAGTGGTGGGAAATGGCAGTCTGAGCTGCTAGTCTCGATCAGCTTTACTGAAATTAAGAGTACGAGTTATTTCCGACCATCCACATGTCCGTAGTTATATCGTAGAGCTCTATGGTTACATCACGTGTGAGATCGCGCCCTCATTTGCCGGGGGTTTCCCTTCGAACCTGTACACGTGGGGGGTTTCCCCGGCTTAGACATTGCAGTTGGCATTTTACGTCGACAGTTTTGTGCTGTTTCTAAATGCACGATAAGTTGTCATATCAGTGACTGGTAATACTGTAGGCCGCGATGAAGTGGAATTTGACATTTTAGCTGTGGGTGATCATTCAGGAAAAGGTTCTAAAGTTTGCTGCTGTCGTGCTGTGGGTGAGAACACAGAATGACCTTGTGGCGATCATTATCATTCGACTAGATGACCCGGATATACATGTAGGCCGACATGCAGTAGAGTTAATCGAACGTTGGCCTACGTGTGTACTGATTTGTATTAGGAAATGGCAGTTATTATATTGTTGCTCTGAATATCTGTTGTAAGGATGGCGAGGGAACACTTCGAGATGGACATAACCGAGGTAGGCTATGTTGAGTGGTTACTTTATGGGAAATTATAGGATGATTGGGCAGGATCATGCCATGCATATGGTCAATGATTGGTACATTGTACTTGTAATTACATGTACATTTGACTATTAATTGACAAACATGAATATGACCAGTGTGCAGATACCAGTTTTATTTGTACATAAAGCAAGGTTTAATGATTTAATTACAACCTGACAGCTGTGGATTATCCTTGCATATATTCCGCAATGTTATTTCACAGGCAGTGACAGGTTCATTTGTGCTCTGTGCATGCTGTGACTGCCAGTGTATGAATCATCAAAGTGACTCATTTGAAATGCATGCATGTTTGCACTGGTATCTATTCCACTTTTATATTTACAGTTTTGACTAAGCATAGGCAAAGGAAAGATGGTCTACTTGGATAGCTGCTTCTGCTGGGCGCTTGGCCCCCATTTAAAAACTTAGCGTAATGCTCTGCCCCAACATCATGTTGTTTCAATGTACATGTGTACATGTATATGCTCTACATTCTAGCCCCTTTGACTGGATGGCAGCTACCCATCTGGGTATACTAGACAAAGGTTGTGTTGCTCTGACTTCATAATCATACATTAGATTTGTTGAAGCAATGTTCACACGCATACAGTAACTTCACATGTACAGGTATTTCTTTGAATATATACATGTACATGTACATGTATTTTCCACAGGCACTGGGCATCACATTGCTTCAATATTAGTCACCTTGACCCTCTGAAGAGGAAGAAACTGAACAATGGAAGAAAAAAGTGAGAAAGAACTGGCCCTAGAAGAGGACCTACCTCGTCCCCCACCAGGTGCAACTGTACACCCCATACCAGGTCCAACACTGGATTCATATGTTAGCGTTAACGACAGCACAGAAGGTTATGACTTGAGGTTTGAACCTCAGTTGGAACAGAAGTATGAGTGTCCTATTTGCCTCATGTGTTTGCGTGAACCAGTACAAACAGAATGTGGTCATCGGTTTTGTCGTGCATGCATTATGCGATCATTAAGGTAAGTACATATCAACAAAATATATGAACTTCAAGGATTCAGTGAAAACATTGGTGACCAAACTGTTCAAAAAAGCGACATCTCCAATGAAACTTATCAATGTGCATATGTTTGTAGGTTTTTTTGCTGTGAATAAACATGTACACTATACATGTATATCTTACATGTAGTTCTGTCCGTACTCAGATTTTTCATAAATGTGTTACAGTCTCGACTCTCGACCATTGCAGTCAAGTCTTTTTCAGGAAAATGACCCCATTGACATTGCTGAAATGAATCAAATAAAGTGGATGTTAGCCAATAAAGGAAATAAAAAATCACATGTTCATTCATAAAAATCCACTTTCCTTTTTGCCAAGAATGATTCCTAATTGTGTAATAATCTGTTTCACTTTCATTTTGTTTGACGTAGTTTGCCTTCAGTTTTTAATGCAAAATAATTTCCAAGAAAGCTACAAATTGATTTTGGACTGACTTATTACATTTAAATAAACAATCAAATTTATGCATTTGCTTTCTTTATTGAAACACCTGTTTGTGTGTTGTTCTCAACCTCCTCACCATCATTTCGGTATTATTTATGAATTATTTAACTCTTTGCTTTGTAGGTATGCAATTTGAGCCTCAGTAAAAGTTTCAATGAACCAGTGCAAAATTGCACCCAATGCTTTCCTTACAGATCAACACCTTACAAAAGCCTCAAAGTAAGAAGACTTAGTTTTTTTTGACAAGGTTGAACCCTAGTAGTGAGTCATTTCCTCTGAAGACATAAAGCAGGGATGAAATCAGCCTGAACCCTTTCCCTCCTCTATCATTCGTGCAATTGTGATTGGTTAACAGCAGACACCCAACTATCTGGTTTCCTGAATGGCTTCCACTTTCCCACAAAAATCAACGATGTTTCTAGGCTATGCTTCATACAGGTACTTCTAGGAGTACTTCAGAAAGTTTGTTCTCTATCAGTTGCTGAAAGCACACAATTTCTGACATTAAAAACAAAAGATATTGTTGCAACCTGCAGTATGTTGGTAGCGTTCAGGTTTTAGAAGGTAAGTGAGAAGTTCCTCAAGTGCCTGTTGTCAAGTTCTTACATGCATGGGCATGTTAATACTTTTGTACATTGTAACTGTACACAAATTCTTACCCTTCATTTTTCTTTTTATTCCTTGGGATACTGAAGAAATTAATTTGTGAGTTCATCATTTCAACAGTTAATGATATGTATTCTGTTGCAGGGATGCAGGGAACCGGTGTCCTGTAGACCAATTACCATTGCAAAAGGTGAGAATACATATTTTCATGATTGAATATTCATAATGCCATCATGTTAACTAATGAGTTCTTATCTCATGCACATTGATAAACTGGCGCATAAGGTTTGCCCGTAGGATGTACCATGTGAAATATGTTCAGTGGACAAAATTGGAGATGTTTTCAGTGTTGAGTGCCAGCAGAGACAAGTATGGATTCTGCAAAATACATAAATTTATCAGATCAACTTCTCCGTGCAAATACGACTCGGATTATGCAATTTTGGTAAACGACAATCTTTCATAAAGAAGAGTCATATAATTATGTTGATGTTTCAAACATGCATAGGCCTACATGTACATGTACATGAACTTGTAGATGTCTGAGGTGCTGCAGAGGTATGCACCTCTTGCAAATTTGCATCCTGACCGAGGACAAAGGGAAAACTAGGGACTTTCTAAGAGATCAAGAGGATCTCACCAAGAGTGATGTACATGGATGTAGTATCCATGTGTAAGTATGTTGTTTTTATTAACATTTGAATGTACAGTGTACATGTATAATTTTACTCTGTATCACTGGAGAATGCTTATTACACCTGAGTCCTATTGTTTGGAAGATTTTGCAACCTGGTATTTTGTCTTACATGGTTGCACATATTGAATTAGACTTCTTCCTTTTTATGCGTTCATTGTAACGGGAAGGGTTTCTCCCTTTGGCCAGGGAATTCCCTTCTCTATTGTCAAACAGGCATTTATTGTTCCAAGTATTTGTATGTGTACAAGGTTTGTCTACGCTTCGCATAATGGCTGCCAGTATCCTGGTGCTGACCTTGCCATTTTTGATGGTCACTAGATTTTCAGGGACTGAAAAATTCGGAGGGAGGGAACCATTGGGAACAGAATCCCTTAGGGATTTTATGGTGCTTTTACTTTTTATTTGTAGAAGCTTACTTTTACACTGGTCAAACAGGTATACTACCTCAGACAGTCTCCCTATTCAACAACATGCAACTTGAATATGTATTAATATTTGATAATGCCACTGCTTACACTGTACATTATGCGCTTGCACCTGGATACGAGACAGTTTACTCCATCCCTATTGGTCAAGAGTCTCTGTGCGATGCAGTTCATTGAAGCGGATTGTATTGGACAACTTTCAAAAGGAATACACCATAAAATGGACAGGGGTGTTTAGGGAAATGAAAGTAAAGTTTTAGAACAAAAGAAAGTAGAGGTTGCCAAACATTTGCACATTAGTATATCTACAGGTGCATGACCACCAAAATAGTATTCATTGTTTTATTATAAATCTATAGCAGACTATATTTTCTTGGAAGTTTGGCAAATCATTTCAAGGAACATTACACAAGTAGATAAAAGTGTATGCTCATTGAACACTTCTTTTCATAATTGTTGCTTTTTAGATGTTTCCTGACCTTTGTGTAAGGAGGGAAATCATGGATTTGATGGCCCACTGTCCTCATCCAGACTGTGAAGAGATTATAGAACTCCGAAATATGGAGGTGAGATTGCCCCACCCTACATGAATAAACACACACCGAAGTCAATAAATCACTGAACAAACAGCCGTAAATAAATAAATGGACTAAAGCTTGTAGATACCGGTACTAGTAGGTGAAGCATACACTGCTGAGGAACATAACATATTGCTAACTGATAAGTGAAGCAGATGATATAACTCCATGATTATTCAGATGAAAATCACAAAATGGGAGAGAAATTGAAAGACAACATGACGCATAAAGTACAAATACCATATTTCTTACAGAAAGTAGAAGTGTTGAAAAGCCAGCCACAGTGATATATCAGTATCATGGTTTATTGGGGGAAATTCCCATTTGTCAGATGAGGTTAATGAAGCAACCAGAAGACACAATTGGGCAACAAACCAATGAGTTTATGATTTTGAATCTGTGGTGATAGGGGCTGTTCATAAAGTACACATGCACGAAGTGGGGGTCTGAAAAAATAGAATTTTTTGCGTACGTACATTATGGATGGCCCCTTACACAAATTGCTTTACCTCATCAATATTCATCAGGCAGCTGTGGCATTTCATCAGTCAGTTCCAGGAAGTCAACCATGTGATAAGTTTTACTATTTTTTCACATGCAGAACCAGAAAAGAACTATCACACACTTGGATCTCAGCCTTTGAGTTGTCCCAGGACAGCACAGAAAGTTAACTTTCTATTCTAATTGTTTCCTTAACATTGAATTGAAATTGTTTCAGTTTATCTAAATACTGCATAATCACAAACATTGTAAATTGAACCAATGAAATACTGCAGCTGCCAGATGAATATTTATGAGGTATAGTAATAAACAATAGCAGACATTTTTACCAAACGGCTGCCCAGTTCATTTAGAGAGGCATTCTTGTGAATTCAGTCATTTTCCTAGCAAAACAGTTTTCCTTGAAAAGTAAAATTAAATTTCTTACAGCCTCAAAATAGATGTCCACCTGTCATAGAAAAGAGGCATTTTTAAAAGATTTTTCACTAAATTTGAAAAAGTTTCCATCAGATATTAAACTCCTTCACCTGTAGTAAAATTGCTGTTTTTACATTTCATGCATTTGAAACAAATGCTGGCCTTCTAGGCCACTATTCTACATTTAGCAATTCACTGTACTTGTACATTTCACTGAAGCAGCACAGCAAGTGAAAGACATAACAAATCAATATTTCATTCCACTCCACTGTTAATTAAGTTTGCTTCCTTTATCCACATTTAGACTCATCAAGAGATGTGTCCCTATGGTCTTCAGCCTTGTCCAAATCACTGTGGTGAAATGTTACAGCGTCGACATATTGACAACCACATCAAGAAAGACTGTTCCAAGCGACCAGTCAACTGTGAATTCTGTGACACTCTTATACCTTTGGATCACAAGCAGGTACTTGTATCTGAAGCAATTTGGTTTGTGTTGTACAAACAGTACATGCACAGATAAGGGTGTGTAATTACGCAGCTAGAGGACTGGTACCGCTAAAATGCTGCGGTGGACTATTTGAGTTATCGGGGGTAGACACACATCTACACTTTTCAGATGTATATTCCTAGTGTCATCCTAACTCTCTACCCAGTGAAATAAAGATACATGCATTATTTCTGTCTCAGGCAATTCAATGTAATGAATTTACCAACAGCTCAGCATTTCTCTCAAAATGAACATCTGTGATTCATTAAGTAAGTATACAGTCGAACCTTGTCAATAAGGACTAGGTCCTTTGGACGTGGCAAATAACCTTGTTATAATAGGAACTTGTGTTACCAGGAATAAAGGACTGAGACCTAAATACTTCCTTGTTATAAGCAGAATCTTTTATAACAATGCTCTTATTAACGAGTTCGACTGTATTATTATGATGTGATCATGCTTTCAATGCCTGTGATATAACTCTCAAGAGCAGATAAGCTGGCAGGAGGATCAATTCTTTCCAAACCTGCCTGGGTAAACCATTGCATTGTTCTTCTGGACGCCTTTTTCCTTTAATTCTTAAAACCAACTGACCATATTTGTTACTTGATGTCCCAGGTACATCTAGATACATGTCCAAAGGTGACTATTAGCTGTGAGTACTGCAGAGACGCTATGATACGAGAGAGACTTATGGTACATCTTAAGAATATCTGTCCAAAGATGGTGGTCTTGTGTCGGTTCCATGCGATTGGCTGCACTGAAAAGGTAGGTGGAAACCAACCACGTCTGTTTGTAGTCTGTGAACTTTACCCCATTCTATTCTCATTTTAAAGCAGTACTTACCTGCTTGTTTTCACCAGTGAGTATGTTGCTTTCAAATCTGTTCTTGCTACATGTATGTGATTACAGATGGAGCGTGAATTGATGGCAAATCATCTGTCATCATCAATGGAGAAACATATGGAGTTAATGGCCTTCAGATTAGAAGGGATGCAAGATAGACGTAAGCATTCCTCATCACCCCAAGAGCATGAGGTACCAGACCTATCTATGTTTGAACAGCATGAATATTCAGTTTATCCACCAAATACAAGTCCAAAAGTCAACCAACGCATTGCACATTCAGGCACCAGTGGTGTGGGTACCAGTTCATCCTCAGACACATCAGTCTTTAGCCCGTTGCCTCTTCCCACAACATCCGAAGTAAGCTATGCACCAACATTCAAGGCTGGGGCTACAGATGTTGAGAAGCATGCAGCCAAGACATTGGATCAAGACAAGATTCCACAACCTCATCTCAAGACGTCTACGAGCGTTCCCCATCAAAGTGAAAAACCTCATGTTGTTCACAGATTCCCCTCAGCTGAACCCAGATACCCTTGTGCTGAATCCAGAAATACTTCTGTCAATTCAAGAATCCTAGCTGCAGATCACCGTTATTCAACTGGAGACCTTAACGTACAATTTCGCCGATTTCCTTCAGTGGAATCTGATTATCAAGAATTTGATGCTGGAAGAACCATACAGAAATTATCTGGGGAAGTGCAAGCTTTGAAGGATAAAATGAAGGTGCAGGAACAGCGAGCAGCACTGCAGAAGCAAGAAATGATTGAACTTCATCTAAGTTCCGAGCGTAAAATAAAGGAAGTAACAGATTCACTAGTCAAGTTAGAGTCTAGACTTTGTGGTGGTGAATTCTATTGGAGACTTGAAGGATACTCTGGACTTTTGCAAGACGCTTCTAAGGGTGAGACTAGTGTGCGACATAGTCAGGGATTTTATACAGGTTTCTATGGCTATAAATTGTGTTTGCGAGTTAATTTTAACTCCCCAGATAGTGGCCATAGCCAACATATCTCTCTCTTTGTTCACTTCATGAAAGGTGAATTTGATGATATTCTTGACTGGCCTTTCACAGGCACCATCACTCTGTCAATTCTAGATCAGAATGATGACACGTCAAAGCGAAAGCCAATCAGTGAAACTCTTGTGGCCAAACCAGAACTAGCGGCATTCCTTCGGCCTCGTACAAACCGTAACCATAAGGGATTTGGATACATGGAATTTGCACCCCTAGAAATGCTGGCAAGTGGAGCATACATTAAGAATGATAGTATCATAATTAAGGTTAGAGTTCATAAACAGACATAAATTGGGAAAATTAATTTCATTAACAGCAAATACATAATGTGTCCCATTGTACATTGAATCATGGTGCGCATGTAAACTAAGAGTTAAAACTGACATTTAGGATGGAAGTACCGGTAGAATTCTGAAGCCATTTATTTTTGTTTGTGTAATTTCAGTTGATTGAAGTTATTATATGATTTTCCAAAGTTTGTGTGGTACTATTTGTTTCTCTTTAAATTTCCATAAAAGTTGTAAGTTTAAGAACTTCAGTAATTATTTTTGACTTTATTACAGCTTGCAAGAAGGAACAATGTGGCTTTGTCAAAGGGAAAATATTTCAAATGTTTTGTGTGCATGTAGTACTGAAAACATATAATCTTGGAATAAATTGTGCATATTCCAAAATGTGATGGCAGGTGACAACTAGGACCTACTTTTAGCTCTCGTGATCATCTTGAGCTGGATTGCAATACTCTAGCTACACCCTTCATGCATGTAAATTGTAATCTCTCTTGAAACATGTACATGTACATCTCCACAGTGTAAGTACATGAAGCAATTACGCAACACTGCGTTTTCTCATATTCACTACATGTAATGTAACTTGCCATGTAGAAGACATTTAAGCAGCCTACAGTAGTTTGTTATACATGTATACAATTCCATGATTGCATTTCCACACATGTCTATTTGCCTATGTACAGGCAAGGGAATTCCCCTTCTGTGTCCCATGCAGTTTGTTCTACTGTAGAAAAAAAAATTTGGTTTATCGTGAACAGTGCCAACCTTTTTTTTTTCAATACATCTAACAAGTCTGCAATATTGCAAACCGAATTTATTTTCATAGATTCAGCTTTACCATGACAATGCCCTTTTTTTGGCAGTTTTCTCATTTTCTACAAGCTCTCTAAAGTTCTCCCAACTGCATGGAAAATATTTTTAACTTTCTTTGAAATGCCACTGAGGCAAAACCAAGTTTCCAACATGTGACTTGACCTATGCTGTTTCCCAGCAGTGAGCCTGCACTAGCACTGATATGTAGTAGTTGATTGATTGTCAACTCCTCAAGTTTGTGGCTTCGATGCTGGATGTACTGTTCAGCAGTAAACAGCCAGACTTGCATACATGTACATGACCATAGTTAACATTTCTACAAATATTGTGTTGCACTGATGGAACAGAATTTAGGAAAAATTTAAACTTTTTGATTGCTTTACAATATTTTCAGAGTGCACTGGCCTGAAATTTTAGCACATCCCATCCAGTACACAGGGGAGTTTGGAGTGAGAAGTTAGTACAGTGTTTATATACGTACATGTGACCCACGATACTTGTAGAGTGTACATGTATTGTATGAATTATAATAAGGACATGCATGCCAATACCGGTCTGATAAAAACTTCATCAAATTTCCGTAGTCCAGTTTCATGTCTGCAGACCAAAGCTTGAAGCAGAGAGGTCTTACATGCATGTGCAAGGTTCCATGGTCTACATGCATGTGCAGGAAACTTCACATACTCTGTTAATAGCACTCATGATCTGAGCTTGTTTGCAATAGTATCATGGAGCTCTGTGCTAGTCAGCTACCGGCTCTGAGTTGTACAATTGACCACGTGGCATCTATTAGTTGGCTTGAAAAAAACAATTAGCTTGTTTGTACTTAACTAACAGTTAAGATAAAATATCATGCCATCAATTTGAGATCAAGCGTGTCTTTTTTTTTAGTTCCTTTTTCACTAAAGTAGCCCTGGGTGACATTTTATAAGGTGTTTAAAAATTATGCAAATTTTAACATAAGTCAATTTTTTGTTTAAGTTCCACCTGTAAATATTGGTGAATTTCTACAATGTTTTGCTGCATAGCAAGGGTAAATGTATTTACCCAAAGGGGGAGGAGGCACTCATCCACAATAGGGGGTGGGACAAATAGCTATTGAGTGTTGAAATATTACATAAATGATTAAAAGAACTGGTCACCTGACCAAGATGACTCATTCTGACTTGCTGAACTACACTGTAGGTACAAGATTGAATTAATAGGATTACGTTATCCTCAGCAATTATCACATTTTACTCACAGAGAATTACACAAATCATCAGTGACTGTGTATAATTACATGTAAACTATGCTTGCCTATGTAACAATGCGTCAAGCATGGCTATAAAATACTTCAAGCAAAGTGTGTAAAATGCAAGTTGCATACAGCCAGGAGGTACAGTGTACCAAGTTAATAAAAGTCATTTCAATTGAAATAATGTGTGTGTTGTAAGACTTTGAATGTGCATGCATAGTCATCGTGTGTGTATTTCGAAATATGGTGCCTTGTGGAGACCCAAGAGAATTGGTTGAATAGGTCTTCACAAGGATTTCACAAAACTGGTATTTGGAAATCGCTCAAAAAGGAGAATTTTTTAATGCATAAGAATTTGTCACAAATTGAAATGTTTCCTTTAAGGGACATTTTGTCGAAATTTCAGCCCAGGAGAGTGATTCATGTTGAAATGGGAGCATTTTGAAAACATTGTTTCACACATGACCGTATTAGTACTGGAGAATAAAGCCATGTCTCCACAAGGATACAAATTTTGGAAAGTGTGATTTAATCTTACTGCTACAGTGGACATGTTTCTCCAGCAAATGATCCAAAAGAGTTGAATTAAAAAGTGTGAAATAATAGCTAATTACGCGTAGTACACAACCACAAAGTACTCATTTCTGATCACCCTTATTTGGTCATAGAGTTTATTAATTAATACATGTCTTGTACAATGGTTAACACTACACAAACACAGATCAATTAGTTAAAAACACAAACTTAAGAACACCAAAATGCAGAGCAACTGGACAACTTTCATTCCATTTACACGTATCACTACAATAAGAGTTTCCATTGGAAAAAAAAGTTCCTGCACTTTTACAGCATAAGACTCTTGAGTTATTTGGGTGCCTCAGATACGTCTTACTGAGTAAAGTAGTTACTTTCATGCTGATCCTTTCTTAGGGGTGTGTAAAAAAGTACTTTCTTGCCAATTCACCCAAATTAATGTTTGCCAATTGTTGCAATACAAATAAATAAAGCAAGCATCAGGTCACTAACTTGCAAATACAGAACATATGGTACACGTCGTAATTTGACAAATCCCACTGGTATGAACTATACAAAACCATGCCTACAACTTGTTAATCAAATTAACTAATTAATTAACAGTTATACTCCAACAAGGGAGAAGCCAAGACACTGATTTTTGTACTTGTTTTTTTTTTCTCTCTGAACTTTCAAAATGTAAAGCAGAGACGTTCTTTACAGTAATGTCGGAAGTATTTCGTTGAAAAATTATTTTAACAATTTCCTCCATTTGAAAATGACAAAATGAAAGTGTTGTCTCATGGTGGAGTTGCCATCTTGTGTGTGGAAAAACAAACAATTTTGTTTTGCCCAGTATTCAAGTTTATCTAATTACATGTAAAACCAGACAAGGCAGTCAGATCTCATTGACCTACATAACTTTACTATCTACAACGACATACATCCTGAATACCGTCAGTAACTGCGCTGAATTTAAGGGGAACGGGCTCCATTGTCACCACTGTCATTGTCTATTATGTGGTAAAGTCTGAAAAAACAGTTTCACAAAGACACAACAGACAGATATCCATACAGAAATGAAAAACCTGACAATTGAACTATGAGCAGCCTCCACAATTACTTAGGAAATAACACTTTTATAATAAAGTTCAACAAGATGTGTGTAAAGACTGTGACAGCATACCAAGTAAGCTTTCCTGATGCAGTTGAGCCTCGTCAATAAGAGCACTGTGAATGCAACATTCTGCTTAGAACAAGGACAAATTGAGGTCCCCATCCTTTGTTCTTCATTGTTTTCATTCCTACTATTCCAAGGTTCCTAATTACACACAAGGTAATCTGTAAAGTCTCATTAACGAGGTTCAACTGTTTACACATACCAAGCAGGTTTGGAGTCCTTCCATGCACTCTGCCTAATTCTTTATATTCAGGTTTTGCAATAAAAGACAAAGCAAACATCAAGACCTGTTCAACTTCCACGATACCTTCTGTGACTGGTATGTGGAATGAAAGAATAAAATGCAGATTAAAATGGCATACATGACAACCAAGAATTCTTACATATGGGAGTCTAAATGGCTTGTAGATTAAGGAGACTATGACTAATCTGGATGCAACTCTCTAAATACTGGAGAAGGAAGAGAAAAAAAAGATAATGTGTAGCCAGACATTTTCATAAATCAGCAGTTCCTAAAATTTGTTACGAAAATCACCAAGCAGGAAGTAATTTTGAGTTTGGTTGCTAACAGAAGTACTAAGCCACATTATGTATCTTCATTCACTTAAAGCTTATAATTCCAGTGTATATTGTATCATCTGATGTGGTGCCAGTAACAACCTTTTTGAATACCAAACAGGCATTCGTAAAGATGAATGAAATATACAATATAAAGTGCCCAAAGTCTTTACAGGACTTCCAACATCTCTCATGATCACAATAGAATTTTTCTCTCAATTACTCACTTTTCAAACGAACTCATCTGGTTAGCATTGTGCCTACGTGCTGCCCTCTGTCTGTCAAATCTGGCTTCCATTTCTTCCAGCACCTTGGGTGTGTATCTAACAACCAATTTCACTCGATCCTTGGCTGATTTTAGCAGCTCGACTGCCTTCTCATGTTGTTCTCCTTCTACAGACTAAAGCAAACCAAAAAAAATGTCATGACTTAAATCAAGGCTTCCAATAACCTAATGCTCAACTTGCATGGAATACTGTACAACACGCTTCCAATCTTCCAAGTTTGCAATATAATATATATCAATTGAACTTTTAAGTACTTTTCAAAGTCATGCTTGTTTAAAAATTTTACCCAGAACACAAATTTATCTTTCACTTATGAAAAATCTTACAATTCCATTCACAGAAAGAAGTTGGTCCCCTCTCTTAAGTCCTCTATGTCGGTCAGCCACACCCCCAGGGATGATACGTGAGATGTAGATGGGTGAATTCTGTTCTCTACCTCCCATTACATTAAAGCCTAATCCTTCATCAGTCTTAGGGAGTTCAACGACACGAGGATGGGCGTGGCCTTCACTTGCTGCAAATGCAGCAACTGTAGCCTAAGAAGGACATATCAAAGAAAGAAAATTTAGTCATAAATGACAACTACATTTGATTTCAAGTTGGATTCTACAAACTTCCAGTATAAATGTCAAACCTAAAACCAACTGTAATCTACTACATGTACTTACTTTAGCTGTTGCATTAGCTCTGATCTCTGGATCACCTTGGATATCTACTGTCTCATACACATGTTCATACACCTCTCTGACTGCTGTGAAGAATTCACTTTCAAGGACCTTTTGTAAGGCAATTAACTTCTGCGGGGGGATATCTCGGTTATCTGTAATAACATAACCATTAAAAATTTAGTGGGTTGGAACCCAAGTTTCTGATGCAAAAAATCCAGAACTGCTTGTACATGTACATTTAACATAAACAAAATTTAACAGGCTGGAATTCTACAGTGTCCATCAACTATGATTCTCTGTGTAAATCTGACATGTGCGTGTAGATCAAAGTGTACACACCCCTCCATAATCACCAATTAGGAACAATCCTACTCAGGACATTAATAATCTTTCAAACCTTACCAGAGATCCAACCACTAGGACTGGATGTATCATAACCACAGAGGATATAGAGTTATGAGATTACAATGCTAAGCGTAAAAGCCTTCTTCCTAAGAAGGTATTAAGGGTCACAGGGTGGGGCAACAGTACATTAGATCTATAGGATGCTCGAAATTACTTTCTTGGTGGCAGTGAACAATAAAAAGAGGGAACTTTACACACTGTCTGCATAGCATTTCATCTCAATCAAGCAAACCTATTTCATCACTGATTTCCCATAAACGTAAATTTGTTTAAAACAGTTTGATTGTATATTGTGCTCATTTTTATAACTTATCATGCTTCATTCTTATGATGCAGGGAGCTACCGACCCTTCACTGTGAACTGAGCTTGATTTCCCCTTCAGTCTTCTCAATATACTTGACTGAAATCAGATGAATATTGAATAAACAATTCCTTTCTCATCGCTGCACTTGAAAACCAAAAAAATACATTTACGTCTACAACAATTTGAATTGATTGTTACCACATTGAGATTTAATGCCTGCCACCGACTGAAAAAAGCAATGGAGGACATTCTTCAGAACAGACAAATTTCCTACAATAGGAAAAACAAATCAATAACTGTATATACTTACTTTGTTGAAGATGTTGCAGTAATTCGATTGCCCTGGAGACATCTGCAAAACAGGAAGGAGGGCAAGTTGTCAGCATGGTGGTCATTCCAAATATCAGTGTTGTTTCTTACTGAAGATCCCTTTGTTCACAGCTTGACTTAAACACAATACAGGATAGAGGCCCTCAACCTCCTCTAGGCCTTGATGACTAGTGAGGATGACTGAAGACTCTCCTTGTACATGTATGTGTACAACTCACAGAGTCTGAACAACTCTTGCATTATAACAAAGACATGTGGATGCTGTCCATTTGATGAACCAATGGTTAGACAGTTTCCACATCTCTGTTGTGGTGATTAGAAGCAGATCAGTTAGTCCCTCCACTGACAACCAGGCACTGAATCAATGCCTCCTAAAACAGGTCAATTCAGTTCCTAACTCTTCTCTGGCTTGTTTCCTTGTATTCAGTAAAGGTGCTAAATTTGTCTTAGATATCCCCGGAGCTGATGGCTTTATCAACTGACAGTTTGACAGAAACCATCACATCGAGATCAGAATCTAGAGGATGGAAGTATCAGTGTTCGTTTATTTTGTACATTGATGAGCCACTCAGCTGTTTGATACATCATAAAGCAAAAATTGGTTGAATCCATGAGAATTCTAGAGCGAATTGACAAAGAGGAAATCCCTGATCATCAGACTTAAAGTCAAGTGGGTCGAACTTCAAACTACCATGGTCTGACTCTGACAGGCTCTACTTGGCTATCTTTTCAATATCCAACATACATGTACATTTTGCAAGTGCTGTACAGCATACGAGAATTTTACAAATTGTACCATGCACTTGAGTGCATGGATTCAGAGTAATCCAGGAACTCCCAAGGGAACAATATACGAATGATGAACAGGAACAGATGGTTCCTGTCCATCATCAGACTCAGGAAGCAGTACTAGAGATAGCAAAATACAGTAATCCCAGTCCAAGCTTCAAATGGGATTAGGATGCCACACCATTAGGTCATGATAACCACCTGTCTGACTGCACACGGACATATATGTCAAACTCCATTTGTTAATGTCAACTGCAGCTAAGATTGTCTAAACATGTACTTCAATGGTTACATGTATGCTGCAGCGTAACTGGCATCATAACAACGGTTGAGAGAGCGCATACATGTAGTTCCTAATTAATATGGAAGCAAAATCTAAATGCCAACACAGTAGCTGCTACTCGCTTCTCGCTCAGTGCCCAAACAGCTGCTGGGAAGGGCTGAAGGCTTTGCACTGTGATTGGAGATTATCACTTCCTGTTAGCGAAACATTATTTAAATTTTTGGTTCGCCAATGGAAATGCTTTGGCATGGGCAAAGTGTCGGCTATATGAATGAAACATGGCCTTGGAACAATAAGTGTGGTAATTTATCTTCTCACTAAGAATCACAGATCATGTGTCTTTTGGCGTTATGTACATGTACATGTACAGTATTTAAAATCATTGGCTATTTTGATAAATTTCTAATGAATGAATAAAGTGTAGTTAAAATCTTTTCAGCAATGAGGAAGATAGAGAAAAATATGGAATCCATAACCTCTGTTTCTGTAATACATTGAGCGAGCTCACGGACCTGGCAAATATTTACCCACAATACTCTACACTGTGTTAGCGGTGACCCCGTGTGATGTACACCCCTACATTAACAGTGCATGCTATAGAAAAACAGCTTAAGGCTACTTTAACATTTTAATGGCAATACATGCAAACAGTGCAACAACAGTTACAATGTATGTAGCTTTCAACTAAAGAGCATTTCTAATGTGTCAGTGCATTATTTATATCACAATGACCTTGGAGAGGAAACTTTTATCAGTCTTGCCAGTGTGCACAGCAGTCTAGTTCATGATGAATCTAAAGAAAGCCATGTACATGTATGAAATACGCATCTGGCTTTTGTAAGTGCCTCCCACAGAAAAGTATAATCACCACACCAAAATACTGTGAGTCTCTCTTGTTCTGGACATCAAACAGTTCAATAAAGTGGCATCAGTTTCATCTTTGATCCCTAGTTTGTTTAGTTATATCTTGGGCATCCTGACCCTTAGTCGTGGTACTGTGGAATCCCTACTTTAGTATGTTTAGTTGTATCTTGGGCGTCCTGTCCCTTAGTCATGGTAGTGTGGAGATGAAATTTGAAGATTTCACTAGGCAAGGTGTGTCCATTTAATTTTTGATACAAGCAATGATATACGGTCTCAATCAACCTAATTTTATATTAAATTACTAGAGCACTAACTTCTCATTCCCTGCATAGAAAAACTTTAAAGCCTCATGGACACAGACACATTGACTTCAAGCATGTATTTGTGAACATGATAAAATTGTTTGGAATGAAATTCAAATTATGTACTCTGAATGTAACATGCAATAACAGCAAATAAAAATAGTGAGCAGCCAATTTTCTGTCATTTAATTAAGTCTCTGCAGCACTTACACATGTAAGCAAAAAGGGATGTGTTTGTGTTGCTTACATTCATCCAACCTCAACACTCGTTTACTAATGATGCATTTAGTTTTTAAAGGTACTGCCTTTGTTGACACAACTTTTGGAATACAGACGCCAATGCAAATACCTGTACAAAAGCAGCATAAAATTTCAAGTTTTTCCATCCACGTAGGTCTGTACACAAACATGGATGCAGCCACAAAGTTTAAACTTTGTACGGCCAGTTTATATACAACAATTCTGTCTGTGACATTCCTGAGGACTCTACTATTGACCCTACGCGTCCATGTCCAAGTGTTCAAAAAGACAATCTGTAGGATTATCCCCAGTTTCTTAGTTGGACTACGCCTACAAAATATCTTTTAAAAATGTGACATTTAGCCTGACCTATGTAGTTTACTATGTAATTTAGTCCTGTTAAACTTCACTAGTTAGGCCCATATTCAAAATTCTGCAAAACTGGACTCTCATTAGGCCTAATATATGTAGGCTACAGAAGATTGGAGATATCATTTCAGAATGACAGAAGAGGCACAGATCACAACTCAGGGCTGTCCCTGGATTTGGAGAATTCCCTTTATTTGGGGACAACACCAGTCCCTGAAAAGAGAGGATGTCCCCTTAATAGGAGCTACATATGCAGTCACACGTATGAAACCAAACCACGGTTAACAACCATGCACAATGCATGACATCTAGATATTCAACCAACCATAAAAACTTCACGTGTGACATTAGGCTCCTATAACATCCAGGCTTTATTTTCCTTTAAAAAAAAACCTCCCTGCCCACAATTTCGACCCGGAATTCGAACCCACTCCCCATGCATCACAAACCATTATGCCGTAACCACTTGACAACCGCAATTCACAAAAATTGATGGTGTTTTCACTGTTGATATAACGATGAACGGCTGCAACGCAAGTCTAATACACATTGGGCATGCGCAATACAAACACAACTACCGTGGTTTGGCTTCATACATATGGTTGCATATATATCTCCTTAAAAGGAGACATTTTTCCCAAGTGGCCTTGGGTCAACAATAGCATTAGCATTTTTTTCTCCAACATTTTCCATTCATTTAATTAAGATATCTAAATTGTTTTTATGAACTTCGCCCTTTACTTTAGGCCTATACCAAATTGCATACTCTTGCTCATAATCCTAGAACAGTAGGATTTTTTAATGGCAGCCTAGGGTGCTTTTTTTCTGCTGAATCTAATTATGGCAATAAAAGAATTCCCAGGACAATGGTTGGATCTCCAAGCCCACTTGAAAAAAAATTGTACCCATCCATTCTCTGTTTGGGGGGACTGATTTTGTCCCAATTATGGGACTTCTCCACATTCAGGGACAGTCCCTGAGTTGTGGTCTGCACCTCTACTGAACCTGTGGAATGATAGGCCCTACTAATATCTTTAATGGAACATATCCAACCACTGCCTCAGGCCTGCCTGAAGTTGCCGCGTGCATTGAATATAAAGTGACCGTGGTCAGTCTGTGTCTGTGAGAGTGAATAGTGATTTGTTTGTACTGCAGCATTGAGACGTCATGGACGTAGACATGAGAGACGCACCTGTGTCTAATAATGTTGAATAAATATTTTTCACGACAACAATATCACATAAAACTAGCCATGGTCTTGACTTGATACATCACTTAAACACAATACACTCAAAGAATGAGAGTCGATGGGAAAATGACAGAAAAATAGGCAATTCTTTTACCTCTTTCAAGCGTCAGCTCTGCAGTGGTCGCCATTTTGCTTGCAACTGACGTCATTTTAAAGGTCACAGTGCCAAGCGATTCCAATTCCTCTCAAGGGGTGTTTTATGGAAATACAATGTACTTGATGAAGGTTATAAAAGTCTGCACAACCCAGAGTTACAGGATGAGGATTTATGAGGTATGTACGTTGTGCTTAAGATCTGCATCGTTTCTTTTCTCAGACAACTTCAATGTTGTCTTCGATTTATTCTCCATTGCTTTAGATGGTGAAAAGTGGTATGTGCTTCCTGCCACTGGAGTAATGCAACTGCAAACAATCGATGTTGAGAAGCAAAATGGCGTCTTTGTTGTTGGGACTTTGGCAGAAACCAGTCCAAATACTCTTGGATTTTTCACTCTTGAGTCGATAATCTTGTGAGTCATCAATGTTTAAATAAAGCAGTTGGACCTATGGGCTATGTTATGTCAAATAAATTGTTCAAAGTTGGAACTGAATGCAGTTGTTGGGCCCTATTACCGGAAACAGTAGCAGAGAAGTGGATGGAGCGTTCCTGGCAACGCAACGCTTGCTCTAGCTAGTAGCAGTTTAGTGTTAGGCCTAACACTTTATAACAGGTTCCATTCATTCAGGTGTTAATCATTAACGTAGATCACAGCTCTGCCTATATTGAGCAGCGATCAAGCCCAGTATCAGTAACATATCGGTTATCCTACATGTACATGCATGATATGACATGATGTAGGCCCTCGAAGGATTTTTTTTGTAAGCATGGCAGGAGAGGATATCCTGCACGTAAGGATTGCCGATTTGCCACCTCACCATGTTCACTTTCATAGTCAGGAATGTGTTTCACATGTTCACGTCAATGAATGAGTATGACATTCACAAAATGATGATGAGATGATAGGCCCACTAATCATACTAAAATACTGAGTTCTTATTTGTACTCCCAGCATGCCCAGATAAATATCAATGTCTTTAATCATGTTAATCAACTTAACGAATAACGATTAAATGATGTAACATTTTATAGGCCAAGGCTTAGTGCCCAGTTACTATGTTATTTCCCATGTAGGTCTGTGTAGTGGGGCAAATCAAGTGGAAGGAATTTTTGACGGTTACAGCAGGAGGGTTAATATATATGTGAGAGATGCAAAGAACTTCTACAAATCAAAAAAGGTTAGGCAGTGGACATGGTGGATGTGTTGGGGTGATTGATCAATATTCATGATCATTGGTCACGCTGATGGTTGCTCAATTTTGCATGATCAGACAATCTTACGTGTACTACACGATTTGTCAATTCCGCCATCAGCCAGTCAGTTACTTGAAATGATTATTTTAAACAGGGCGAAGTTAATTTGTAGATTTCATGCAAAGTCGACCAATTGTGTAGAATGTTTGGGCAATTACACTGATCGACTGATCATGCCTAACAGATGTATTTGACTGCTTCACTGCAACTGAACCTGTGCAGTGAGCTACCTACATGCAAAACAGTTTCAGACATTTTTTTCTTAAAAACCATCCTGAGCCACAAGTCACAAAAAGAAAAAAAGAATATCCTGCAGTGTACTGAAAAAATCAATTTTAACAAATAAAAAGATAATCTCGCAACCTTTTGGGGGGGGGGCAGAACTAAACAACAAAATGCCCCCATTGGGTCTTGAAACTAGGGTTCTTGTTCTTGAACCATGCAGCATAACAACTAGGCTACTGGCTCACTCGATCACAATGGCTGAATTTAGTAAATGTTATATTGGTTCCATGCTGGCATTTTAACAAAAAAAAGAAGTGAAACCGAATGCCAGAAAACATACCATTATACTTCAAAAAGGTTAATTTTCTCTCCATGCTCTAACAAACTCTGCTACATTTGTATGTTGGGCATGATTGGTTGATTACTGTGAAACTGGTTGGTGTTTTCAACAATCTATTGATATTTCCATCTTTATTCAATCACCATTCTACATTTAATTCACAATTAGAGAAGTTTGTTGTACATGTACATACCAAGCATTTGAATACATGCAGTTTGTCGTCAGAGTGTAGGACCATTTCTAAGTGCGGAGATTGATGTACCGTATGTTTACTCTCTTAGGATATTCTTCACATGAAATGCCCTCATCACCTGCATAATTTACATGTAGTTAACCCCTTTGTTGAATTTTATCTGTTCCCTTTCCAGGCCTTATTTTCAAGATCCATTTTGTAGAGATCAATATAATGGCATCAGTACATATCACAGATTTTGGAAGTGCAACTGTCAACCCTCAGCCGATACCTGTTGAAGATACAGAATTCTTGCTGGAGGACTATCTGTCTTCAGCGAAAATGGTAAGTCCAACTGAATACATCAGCTAGAGCAGGAAGTAAGAGATGTGTGATGTATGACACTTCAAAATCCTACTTGTTGGCCGCACTTGAAAAAGTTTGAATATTGGTATTGTTTAAGGTAAGGGTAAAAAATCATCCCGGTCAACTTTCCAAATCTCCTTTTTTAATCACAGAAAGAAATGACAGGTGTAGATGATCTGGATGATGTCAAATATCTTGAGATGAGAGTTGATACGACGGAAACTAGTCTTGGAAATTTCGGTGAGGATTAATCAGGATTAATGATTAATAACCCAACCAGTAAATGATACCTGATGTTGTATCCACATGCTGTTTGTATACTTCTGAGTCATGGAAGTTATTCTGCTTTTAACTTTTAAACTTTGGAATTTCCCAAAGTCCCTCATTGTAATCAACTGATCAGACCTTGTAACAATACCTTTTCTTCTCTTCCACCCATCAGGAACTATGGTTCCAAATCTGAAGTACTTAAAACTAAGTAATAGCATCATTGCAACAGTTCGTGATCTTGGTACATCACTAGAAAACTTATCCGTCCTCTGGATGCCTAGATGTTCACTGTGTGATCTGGATGGAATGGGTTCTATGTCTTCCCTTCAGGTGTGTCTGATGAGTTGTGATCTTATATAACAATATTACAGTTAATAAGTACAAGGATTTCCTTCTTGACCTAGTGGAAGACGATAATTATGTTGCTATTCAAAGAAATATTTTGGTAGAGCTTGAAGTTAAGTGTACTCACCATCTATGCAATCACAGAAAAAATCAAAGTGCAGTGAAAATGTTGGGGAATGTGTTTCAGAATTTGACAAGTTTTTATCAGTGACAATCACTACCCAACTGTAAACTTGCCATGTAATTCTACAGTACTGTACAGAACCTTGGTAAATTCTTTTTTACATTGTACAAAAGCAGAAAAAGTTCTATTAAATTGCTGTAGCGTACTTTGGTTAATTGTCATTTCTCTCCCGTCTTCAATTTGCAGGAGTTGTACTTGGCGTATAATACCATTTCAGATCTCAGCCCTTGCAGTATGCTGGAAAGTCTACAGTTACTAGATCTAGAAGGGTATGTACAATGTCTTGAGGTAATTAGCCCTTTTAGAACTTGGATACAATTCTTTGCAGCCAATATTGATTTCCAGAAATATTAACAATAGCTGTCTTTTATTGTCTGATGTCATGTGCAGGAACAACATTGATGACATGTCTCAAGTTGAGTTCTTGAGTTTATGTCCTAAACTAACCACCCTGACATTAGAAGGCAACCCTGTTTGTCAAGCACCGTGTGTAGACTATAATAAGGTAAGCTAACTGTCGAAGTTATGAGATTGACATTAATTTTTTAATCTATACACATTACATAACACATGTTGTTTGCTGCTTGCCAGTCAGTTTTCATTTAATGAATACATATTTTCTTACAGGATGAAGAGGGTGAATTTGACTACCGAGCTGCCACCTCTAAGGCCATTCCCCAACTCACAATACTTGATGATGATCCATTGTCAGTTGTACCCTCTAGCCTTGGTAGAACATCAGCAAACATTAGCATGGAATGGCTTCTTGTTAATGAAGCTATCAAAGATCAAGGGTCAAATGAGAAGCTGGAGGTTGAAGGTAAGTACTAACTTCGGAAACCATTGATTTGAATGATGATTTTTGCTTTAATGTTGAAGAAGATACTCAAAGCAACTGCATTGCAGTTGGCAATATCACAAGACTAAGATGTAAGACAAGCCAAAGATAAAAGGTGAACGGTGAAGGAATGCCTTTGTTGGACTTCACTTACCTAGCTTGTGATTGCATTCAGAGGTCTTGTGTTGATCTTAAAAGAGGTCTTGACTGCCACACTGACAGACAATTGAAACTTAATTTGTAAGTTAGATAATCAGTCTTCAAAATCTAAGGAAAAAGAATAAATGAAGCCAAATGCAGGGGATTGCGTTGAAGTGATTAACATGTGCCACATGTATTCATACTGTTGTGATGTGGTCATACAAATTACATAAACTAGAGTTGGCAGTGTTGTGTTGATCGTAATATTTTTGGTTAAACAAAGCTGCCTACATGCCAGAAATCTATTTCACATTAGGTATGTAGCATAAACAGTTTCGGGATTTCATTCTTTAACTGTTCCATTATTGGATAGTAGTTGTCTAGACTGACGTTGCTATGTTTAGATTACAAAGTGGTGTTTTTTTTCTTCTTCATGCAAATACAGATGGTAGACCAGGAACTGCTCGACCATCCTCTGCATCCAACCGGCGACCAGGATCCACCAGACCGGGATCAGCTAGACCAGGATCAGCTAGACCAGGATCGGCTAGACCAGGATCGGCTAGACCAGGATCAGCTCGACCAAGTTCTTCTGGAGCCAGGCCTGGGAGTAGCTTAGGTACTAGACCAGGTACTGCCTCAGGTACAAGACCAGGGACTGCCCAAGGAGAGAGACCAGATACAGGAGGTAAGATAGAGAATGGTAAGGTGGCCCTAGAAGGCCGTGGGTGAGATAAACAGGGGCAACTAGAAAACTATGAGTGAGATACAGAACGAATAGATATCAAGTCTTGGGTTTTGTTCGACAAAGGTGATGGAGTGTTGGGAAAGTCCGAGTGTGAAATCAGTGCTTATATTTAACTTTGATTCAGGTTCAGACATTCATCCAACGCAGGAAGATGCTAGTGATCTTACACACGGTAGTGGAGGAGTCATATGTGGTAACCCAGTCAGAGCTCTGCGAAAGAGACGGAGAAGAAACAAGGTAATATGGAATAAAACAATTTGAGTTATCATAATGACTTAATCAAGTGTTTGTATCAGTGGTGATATCACAGTATTCCATTACCCCTCCTGCTGTAACCGTCAAAACAGTCAAAAATTCCTTCCACTTGATTTGCCCCAGTATACAGACACATATAGGAAATTTGACTGATTTTGACCGATAGGACAACTGTGTCAGGAATATATCTTTGCATAGGAGGGTTAATATTGATATCCTTACCACAAATTTAAAATGGTTTTTACAATAATGTCCTACAAGGTAAGCAACTTGTTAAGGGAAAAATTGAAATTAGTTGTGGCGATGTACTGTAAGGAACAGCCCGAAAACACCCATTTGACTTCTTATTTTTCTTTCTGGTAGGACACGACACCACCATACCAACCTGCAAGTATCTTCTCGATGTTCCAGCATCAACCAGACCATTCTTATGTCTTAGAAGAGGAGGAGGATGGCAAAAGTAAGGAGGATATTTTTGCAGAGCTGACAGAGTGGAAGCAACAACATGAAGCGTAAGTCAATAAGGAGAAATACTTCAACTTGATGTTAGTGCACAAGTGTATAATTTTTTAAAGCTGGGTGAAATGGGCTTGCAAGTGTCTTTCTGGATCAGATTGTAACAAAAGGGGAGAGGAGAAAGTACGGACAGGACTGTTTCATGCTGAGTGAATAAATTCAGTAGCTAATTATATATTTGGTTGATATATTAACCAGAAAAATACTGGCTCGCATCAAGGAATCAGAACCCCAAGTCCTAAAAATACATCACAGCGATGACGATGACTCTACTCAAGATTACTTCAACAATCTAGGATATGATGAGGACTACAGACTTGCTTCCCCATCACCAACATCAGATTACCCAGAGTCCTTAGCATCAGGAGGAATGGATCGTGAACCCACTCCACCGCTAGCGCCATCTCCTAAAATTCCACAAGCACCAAAGAGCCGAGCCACAGTCCGGCCAAAAACAGCAAGTACGTAGAATAGACACGGTCGACTGTAATGTCATTGCCTTTTCTTTTTCACAGATAAATTTGTGCTGAGGCACCTCATAAATAATTGGAAGTAAGAGTAAACAGACACATGAAATACACGAGAAGGGAAATGTAGAAATGAACATACCTAGAACAAGCACTTCCAGTAGTACTACAAGTACACGTGTGTACGTAAACTTCCATGAATTATAAAGTAAACTATAAAGTCTGCTGGGTCAGGTGGCAGTGCACTCTCTGACAGAGCTTACTGTTGCCACTGTGGTTCCATGTAGTCTGTTGCAAACAGGCATGATGGCAGGTACATGTAGAAATGGTCATATTGCCAAACGGACCAGTGGCTGGTCACTCTTCTTCCAGTCAGACCCTCGTGGAAGGGTCATATGGAGGATCCTAACACCTGCTATTTGCTCTCCAGCGATCCCAGTTTCTCATCTTCATTTTACCTTCCTAGATGATTTCAGATCAAGAAGAGTCCGAGTGCGTTCCTTTGAAGACAACCAAGGCTTGGACCAACGCCTACAAGACATGCATTTATCCATGGATGATGACATGGAAGCCAGTGATTCTGGACAGACAAGCCCAGCTGTGATGCAATACTCACCACCTCCAATCGTACCAGCAGAGAACAGACCATTCTCTGGACCTGTTGTTGGAACGAGAAAGTTCAAGTAAGTTTGACCTTCCTACACAGACATTACCTAAGATCTGTGTCATGAATTATTGCAAACCACTAACCATGACCATGACTTTTTTTTTTAATAGGATAAATCCAGAAAACTCCAAGCCAGAACCAAAGAATATTGATCGTCATCAGCCTGTTATTCGGTCATCCATAAATACACCCCCTAACCTAGCCTATCGACTGTCTCGTTTGGCTCGGCCCTCCACTGCACGAGCAGCAATGCAGTTACAGCGCCCTCCTAGGTTACCATCCAGAGAGCCACGATTCAACTCCTTTGATTGATCATGATTACATTGAAGCAGTCATGAGGTTTGAATGACATAGTTACGTCAGGCCTGCCCCTCGCTAGTCTGTGTGATGCTTTGTGTGCATTAGGGGAAGTTCAGGCAGTCACATGGGGTGGAAAACCAGTATCATCAAGAGTGCTTGACTGAGGTCATTCACTTGATAATTGGATCCAGGTTGGTCACTTGACTGAGGTCATTTACTTAATACCCAGGTCAATCCTATCAGGGTCATATAGCAAGTTGTGCATGGTATCACAGGAGTTCCTTAATACTTCTTGTTCAAGTTTGTGTACTATGGTTGCTTTGTATGTTTATTTCATGAAATACAGTGTGTTCTGTTTTGCATAGTGAATTTGGTGTATTAGTGTAAAATTAGTGGTTGGCAGTGAAGATCGGAATTGTCATGCTGCCGTCTGTCCATTTTGCAAGCTACCAATTCACTTCCTTCTTCATTCCATCCATAAAGGCTTTACTTTTTTGGTATTGTTAGTATTTTGTATTGTAGAATATTTATGTATATATGCAGTGTTAAATCAGCAAATGTGCCGTCCCAAAATGATCTGTCCGGAAAAAGTATTGACATTCATTTTTCTTAATCACTTTTGTCAGTAATTTCATGACTTTTGTGTAAATATGGGAAATTATAAGTAATAAAATGACTATTTATTACTGTGAACACAAACAAATATAGAAAGGTACAAGAAAATGGACTGCAATTCCTTGACAAAGCCATTAAAAGCAGAATTGATGTGTATTGCAAAGCTCTATACACACACATGAATTTATCTTCCATACGCCACGTCTGAAACACTTCCACAGCTACAGCCTGAAGCTCCCAAACACTTGAATAGACTTAACATACTGTACTTATGTACTAAGCCTATGTTACACTAACTGTAATGTATTGGTAGTTATCAGTAATGCTGTTCAGTTCTGCTTTAATGTAAGCCATCTGGATTATCTTCAGTTTCTTGAGCAAGAAAGAGCTGCGGTAGGCTAAGCCGTACATACCCTCATCTTAGCATAAATAAGTGATCTGGTAACAAAGCACAGGATATGTCAACGGGGTAAAAAGTCTACATTTTCTCAGAAGACTAGAAAGTTGTAACCTGTGACATAGTTACAGAGGTCAAAATAACCAAACAATACTCCTTACTTTAGACAACACATCAGCTGTGATAAAAAATTTATTTTTATTACATTTGTATAAATCCTGAACACTGCAATATGGCTGCCAAGAGTAACATGTATTTATTCAATTGATCTGTTGGTTGATTGGTTGGTCAATCTATTCACTGATCAATTGATAGACTTGTGCCTGTTCACTATCCATTTTTTAATATTCCGTCCTGTATATAAATAGTGCCTAAATAAAATGCATTGAAGTGTCCAACTGATGGAGGGTGGTGTCATATCTTTGGATTTCGGTTTACGAACAATGTACGTAAATTTTATTAAACCATAGGGCGCATGTTTTTAAGGACAAACTGAAGGTTAGTTTTCCAATGCATCAGACTTTTCTGCTTGGAATGAAAATAAAACAAATCTACATCAAATTTTAATGAGAGTTCAGAACTTGGTTCCTCTTCATCAATTAGTGCTTGACATTAATTTGAAATAAGCAGAAATAGCCAAGTGTACTTTAATGACCTCAGAGTGTTGAAAGGAAAAAGGCTTTGTCCTTCAAGGAATGACAGTGTTGCTGGTAAAAAGGAACAAATGGGCTACTTTTTTTCATTTGTGTCCAATTTGGACTTAAGACTGAACTTCAAAACTTGAACTGCTTATATTTTTCAATAAAATAATCTATCCACTCAAATATACAAATTTATAATTCTTTTCATTATATACATAAACAGACACAATAACTTTGAAGTTTACAATAGATTTCTTTCACAGCAAGTCAAACAGTATTTTAACAATGATTAACAGAAACAAGACGAGGTAAAACATGTCACTGCAGTTTCCAAAGCAAGTTTTTTGAAACTGACAAAGCTTGCTTTTAAGCAAAAGAACCCTAACTGCACTGTCATGACAAGGCAACTGCATTCAACGCGATAAATTGCAGACTACAACAGAAGAAGGCATTGCCATCTTTGTACTATTTTCACTACGCAATGCATAGTTTTGTTTAAAAGCTCCAAGTGAAAGACAACATTTGCCAATAAAAATATCTGAATAACCTTGTTCACCTCTCGTAAGTGCATGTACATTGTACATACACAGTTTTTATTAAGATTTGAGTTTAAGAAACAGGAAACCTTTAAGTGCAGGTTTCATTTCAAATCCTCTTGCTCTAAATCAAGACAAATCTATGATTTGACAGACTTGACAAGCCTGGCATTATTCAGTTTGGGCATCAGGTGGATTGAGAAAGCCCAAGTCAACACTCTAGATACAATGAAGCAAATACATCCGATTCCATGCCACAGGGATAAGTTCTCCACATCACCTATCATTTCTTCCTTGCATATCTCATCATGGCTGCTGACTTCTGGTTTCCTTGGAAACCACCTTGGAATTCTACAACAACATCAAGCTTATCTATCGCATGGGTGGCATCATCATGTTGAGACTTGGGGTCATGCATCAAAGGAGAACGGATACTTTTAGCAGAATGAAGTCTAGCAGGAACAGACTAGGGAAAGAAAATTATACAATACTGAAATACTTGTTCATTATTTTAAAAACCTGAAAAATGGTTCAAGGAATGTGTATTTTCCACTTCAGTAATGTGCAAATCCACACTCATGGATGCAAGTTAAGAGAAATGACCTCTTTTTTTCACAAATGTAGGAGGGACTGACGTTTCCATCCTAGCAGAAATTTGTTGCCTTTGAGAAAGGTTCTGCTGGGATCAAAACGTCAGGCACTCCTACTTATTTGTAGTTATATTTTAGGTCACTTTAGCCAGTTTTAGCATTATACATGATATATTTTTTATGAAAAAAATATATCACCTCAACTGTGACATTAAATAGAACAGCGCACACAGCATAATGAATTATAAATTCTGGCATCAATAAATGAAAGCAGACTGAGGGAAATGAGAAACTGCTCAACATACCTCACTGTTTTTCTGCCCATTCTTCGCCTCAACTGACTCCGCCCCCTCCATCACAATATGGTAACTACTTCCTCCATCACAAACCCCACCCTGATCACTAGAGGGCGCTATACCAAACCCACGCATCTGCAACGCTAACTGCTGCACGTGGACAAACTTGTTGGTGCTTTGTGGAGAGATAACCCTTTCAGCATAGAGGTCATCGTCATAGAGATCCCGAGAGAGGTTCTTCGGACTCCATGACTGGCCATGCTTTAAATTGTTTCTACGTATTGGCTGCTGTCCCTTCATTGACTGGTTGCCCATAGAAACTGAAGTAGCACCTGGAGTTTGAGGTCTATTAGGGAATGGCTTGACAGGTACTGTAGTATATGCCGTCTCCTCGTTACTCGTTGCAGGTTTGTATTTCTGCATACTGTCTACAGTAGGTCGAGTGCTGTTCACATTTTTGACAGAGTTGGGTGTATACCTCAAACTACTACTTGATAACGGACGAGTGCTTGGTTGAGACATGACTGGGCGTCCCACTATACCAGAGTTCTGGACTGAGTTTCTATGGTTGGATCCAAAAAATCTGCTATCAGAGATGATAGGTTCTGATCTATTTGACATGGTGCTACGTTGACTGGCTGATTTTGCCCTGTTTTCGACCCGCCTTCTCAGCTGCTGTTGCGTTCTTTGAAGTGTTTCCTTTTCATTTAGATTTGATACCCTGAGATTATCACGATTAGTCTTAGGTTTCCGTATTTCCTTCCAAAGTTCTGAATCAGTTTCTGTATCACTATTGCTTTTGCCACCAATCTCTTGTTTGTAGTGGAGTGATACATTGTCTCCCTTTTCTGCTACGACTGGTGATACGACTCTCTGTCTTTGCTGAATATTCTCAACCTCCTCCGTCTTTACAACCTTATTCTCAGATATGTCTTCAGTGGTACAGTTTCCATCTGCTAAAGTTTCCTCAGCATTGTTATTCATATTTGCATAATTCTGCCCAATGAGACCAGCTTTCTTCAAACTGGCAACACTCATACGATAACCAGTGGAGTTCTCTGCAGGAGATCCTGTCTGCTTTGACCTTATCCCACTGCTGCCACCAGTCTCTTGACCCTTCTTATCAGTTCTTGAGGGGGATGGTCCGACTGCTGTTCCCTGCTCTGCTTTGTGGGCGACTAAGGAACCAGAGTAGAAATTCTGGGCCTTATGAAAGTGGTGGGAGCTCTTAGTGTTACGCTGTTGAAGTGTGAAGGCAGAGGTGTCTGTTATTGGTGTAGCTTCCGTTGAGCAACGATGGATCTTTGATACAGGAGATTCATGTCTCTTTGAGGAAGTAGGGGCCTTTGAAGATGATACAGGAGTTGGGACACAGTATCTACGGATCTCTGTCTCACCCTGGAAGAGTCAAATGATAAGAAATCACATTTTGCTTGACAAAAGCTTTCTTTAGGGGGTCATATAAATCTTAATGGATGTACACAAGTAAGCTTAGATTTGCCATATACAGAATCACATAAACAACCTGAACCATAACTGTGTGTTTATTTAACCTGCTGTGATCAATCAACATGCTGTGATCAATCAACCTGCTGTAATCAATCAACCTGCTGTACTCTATAAACCTGCTGTGATCAATCAACATGCTGTGATCAATCAACCTGCTGTAATCAATCAACCTGCTGTAATCAATCAACCTACTGTAATCGAGCCAATTATAACAATGTACATGTGGATGTAGTGTGCTACTGACTAGAGACTTACAAGAGTTTCCAACAAACTGTGATGAGAGAAATTAGAATTTCTTTAGAAAAATTCAAACCTCCATCCTTCTTTTTTCCTAACATTAGCTAAAAAGAATTATGTTTGTGACTTTGCTTGACCTTTGACCCTTTGCTTAGATCTTTGGCTTCCACTGTGTTGAGAGTTGTGGTCCTTTGATTGGAACAGTTGCTCTCCGAGTTGACCTGGGGCGAGTTGACACTAGCAAAAGATTTAAAAAATATAGTCATTGAGTCTAGACAAGAAAGTAGAAAGTTCAAATCACATTACTTATCAGGTTAGATTTAAAAACAAACTTCTTCAATAGTCATCACAGTTGTGCTGCAGTGCCAAATGTAAATGCCTTGAAAACACAAGGAGCGGTAATCCCTGTCCTAGATTAAATACAAACACAACAAAAACCATCTAATTCCAGCAAAAATAAATTTGCGGAGAAAAGGAAATTAAACTGAACTGTAACTGAACCTGTGATTTCTGGACTACTATTTCAGAAACAACTTGGAATCAATGCTGTGGGCATGATGGGAACTTGTAATTATAAAAGGCCTGACGCTTCAATCATTTGCACATGATCAAAGACACAGACACCAAACTGTAATGGATTCATTTTCTGAGTTATTGTAGGCGCATCAATTTTCCTAATTCAACTGAACTTGTTCAACATCATCAACTGTGAGTTAATACGTTCACTCCACTGCATATCTATCACAAAACTGAACACTGGTTAGTTATGAGGAACCAGAAGCATTGTTAATGTGAAGAAACAAGAGATTAACATCTGAAAACAAAACTTAAAATTTGTACACACGATCACAGTGGAAGAGAACATTACTCATTCACAACACCTACAATTCACATAAAGTTACATTCTAAAATAACCTGACAAATGACGAATGAATAAAAATGTGTTTGTAGCTTGCCACAAAACGGATAGATTCTAAATCTGAGAAACAATATACATGTAATTATTATGAAGGATATGTTTTGCTGGAAACCTTGTTTGTTTCTGGATGAGAGCAGCCATATTTAATGTCATTAGCAGGTACATCAAAAGTAAAGTACACCTGCAGCATTGTCAAGTTACATAAAATGCAAGAAAAATTTCCCAAGTTATGAATTATAAATCAAATACATGTAGCCCAATGTTGCAAAATGGCTGAATTTATAGACTGATGAAAAGGGGGATTTACAGCTAGACTTTATCAAGAATTGTGGTGTTCACAACTGCTTCAGAATGAAAAATAACTTTGGACTTCTCTGTCAATTTGCTACCTTATTGGGTGTGAATATCCACTGAAAATAATGATTGAAAGAAAATCAATAGAAATATCTAGGTAAATAATCACATACACACCTGCCTTCTGGCCAAAACCCAAAAGCATGTGACTATTTAACAGCATCCATTCTGAGAAATCATCTGGGTGTCATTTCAACTCTTACATCCAACTCTACTCAAGATGAAACTTAATCAGTACTTTAAGTTGGCCACGAAAAACAGCACTCAGAAATGCCACTAAGACAACAAGTTTTATGCTGTATTCTAAAAGCTGCAAGGCCACATCTCTTTAATGACACTCCACAAGTAACAGCTCGTAACACACTCACCTGCTACACATTGACACTCTTTACACAAGACAATGCACAGGTGATATTGCCTTATTTGGCCGATTATACAGCTGGCTGTGTTTTCTGATTACCCTGCCTAGCTATTTGCTCCAATCTCTACCTATGTGTGTATTTGCACTCATTTATTTCACACATTGGAATTTCCTGGAGTTATTTAAGATTTCAAACACAGATATCTGTCTACAAAAAATCAGCTACATGTACATGTAGTCCCCCAGAAGAAAGCAATGCCAGAAGATCCTACAAACAATCAAAGGGAATAATGTAAACAGGCAACACCTGTCGTATCTTCTCCAACTCCAAATAGGAGCAAGAGGTTTTTATATAGAAACGACACTCCTCTGGTGGGAACTTAACATGGCAGTATACAGTTAGACACATTTGGCACAGGACATGCCGAGTACCTGCAATCAATTTATGTTGGTTCGTATATGTATGGTTTCACATGTGCTCAAGGCCTGTACATGAGCTCAGTTGAAAATTTCTTACCAACCCAGCCTGTCTCTCCTTTACCAGTGAGGGCGCACGTCAACTCAGGGTGGAGAGTCAAAACAAGTGCATAATTAGCTGCTATGCTACTTCTCAATTATGGAGGTAATAGGTAGGATTATGCAAATTAGTAGGCGGAGCAATCTGTCATATGAGTGAGTTTGTCTTTGTTAAAATGCATGCATGTGAAATGATGGAGATAACAATAGTGTAGATATGTGAAATTACGGACAAGTAGCCAACTTGCACATACCCAGCTTTCAAGATGAACACAGAGATTGCATTAATTTTTGGGCGATAATAGATTACTCATTTAAAACCAGATAATAAAAATAACTGCATCTCAGTCGCTGACAAACGTTTCAAAGCAAACTTCACGTAAAAACTCTGGAAAGCTTTAACAACATTTTTGATTTGGTAGGGACACGAACTTAAAGCTTGATTGCAGAAGAAAACTGCATGACACATGAGCAAATTGGCTAAACTGAGACAAAAGAAGGAACTTGACCGGGGTACAACCTTCAATGAAGTCAACAATACAGCTGTTTCACAATAATGCGCCACCAAGAGTTTGCAACATGTTGACCCATGACTATGTGCGAAATTTGTCGACCCAAAGCGCTATTATGAATTGACCACATTGTCTCTTTTGGACACACCACAATGTTGGCATCTTGCTGAGAAAATCCTTTGTCTTCTGCTGGCACAAAGTGTACCAACAAGATAAGCAGTGATCACCAAAAGTTGCATCTTGCTATAGTCATTACATTCATAGTAATCTTAATATAAAGCACATGTTCCACATCACATGTACCTCTGTCAAGCGCCCTCTGTCAAGATTGCAATTTCAAAGTTAACATGGTGACAAGATCTACACAGAAACTAACTACAATTACCTAGAGCCTCTACCAGTCTCAGATATGAGACCAGAGGCAGTGGGAGAAGCTACAGGTTGTTGAGTAGAATCTACCACACTGTCTGACGAGCCTGTCATATGATGAATGGGAATGGTGAGAAATAACCACTCAAGAAACAATGATGTAACCGTTGCTATATGAGGAATGAAGAATCTATGGAAAGATATCAGTGGCTTGCAATGAACCTCCTTTTAATTGCTCTCTACGAGCAAGTTAGGAAGGTGCAGATTGCCAGCCAATAAAGCAGGCCACCTAAATATTCAACAAATTACACAGTAACAAAGCAGTAAATTTTACTCTTGATTAGAAATGGACACAATGTCTCAGGGAAAACAAAATTAAAAACTAACAGTGTTCACACTGGAGTGTCCACTTGTATTGAGTCAGTGTATTTTTTTTCAATAAGCAAGTACAAGAAAACAAATTCAACTTATTAACTTACATAAATTCATTACAGATGTTATCAAATGAGTTAGCAACATAGGTTTTTACTGCTCACTTCAAACTCATTGGATTTCTTTTGACAGATGAGGACCAATTGTCAAAACCATATGCAAACCTTGGCATGCAAGATGTGTGTCACGCAGCCCCTACCAGCCAAACCTTGCTATGCAGCTTTCTACAGTTATCTAATCAAGCTCAAAGCACATGAACATCATTCCTTTGCAAATGAAATCTGAGGGAAGGAAAGGATTTTCTCCTCAGCAATCTCTGCACTCAAACTTTGTCTGCAAAACTCAAGGTTAACAGCAATGACAGCATTAGATATGTTTCTTTAGCAATCATGCTCAGGGTGGTTTGCAATGAGGAAGCTTTCTTGGGAAATGTTCGTACCTACAACATTTTACTTCTCAGATTTCTGGACAGCTATTCGAATGTCAAATAATTCAGTATCTAGAACAAGTGTGACTTCTTAAAGTTAGCACGGCCAAAGGAACATAACGAAAACTGCAATTACTAAAAAACTGATCTTTTCTTAAAAATCAATGAATGACATGCCGCAGTTCACACCAACACTGCAAACAGCTAAAAGCTTCAACAATAACTACAAAAAAGGAAACAAAAAAATGACAAGGGAAAAAACACTACAAACCCAAATTTATCCTTAACCTTGAAACCAGTGCATAATATGCGGTGACACCAAGTAACCTGGATTGGTGTTAATCAGTGCTGTGTAAACTTGGTTAAGCAAACTACTAACCTACTAACCTGGTTAAACAGTCTACTAACCTGGTTTATCTTTATCATGGTTTAGTATTTTCTTAGTTACAAATGAGCTATAATGGGATCCCGCTACCGTTGCATGAAGGGAAAGTTCATATAAATACGGTGAACACACTTAATATTTTTCTTGAGAATAATTTCAAATATTTCAAACCAACTCCTCAATATGATTTGATTGATGATAATGATTAATTTCATCATTCAATCAATCAGCACTCAATCAAACCTTTGATCAAGCAGATTCACTGAACCTATCATCCAAGGTCAAGCTAAGTTAAGATCAATATATCAACGGAATCAATTACACTCATTCAATTTGGAAGTTGTCAAACATACTAAGATTGCAAAACCTGCATGTTACATCCCTGCTGAGGAAATTATGCAATACTTCACCACAACCAGAACCTGGAGATACAGCCAGCTAGGGCTCTTGGGTCTGCTTGGTGTGTTCTTCATATACACCTGTTCATCTTACAGTGTATTCTCTAGACTGAAGCAATTTATTTGTTATTCAACAAGTCCTACTGTAACAAATGACAGTAGCCACACTGGTCTTACCTTGTACACTCTGCTTTGAGGAAGGTCTCTCTTGACCAAGGAGACTTCCATACGAACGCCTAAAATATGCCAAGCAATGAAAATGAAGCAATACTTCCTGTTAAGGATTTCAGGCAGAGACAACAATTGCCAGCACTGTTAGATGTTTTGATTTCATTTTCATAATTAGATTTGCTAGATTTTAACAACTAACACTAAACCTGAACACACATGTACAAAGGGATCAGCCAACTCTATTCAAATGAGATCCAAAATTCACTAAATGTTAATAATAATAGCCACGTGAGAAAATATTTACCCATCATAAACGGCAAAAGTTGTAGCTGAGGGACTTCTACTGTCTCTGATTGATGCTCCTGTAGTTCAAACAAAATTGGATAAACACAGAGAATAAGGACTCCACACCGTGACATCTGACCACAAACTCATCAAAGTAACTTAACATAATGAGCAGGCATGTCATAACCATACCCATCAGAAAAATGACAAGGCTTGACAAGATAAAAATTATTGATTTGCCTGATATTTCTATTTCTCAGATGATATGATCTGTTACCCAGCCAAATATGACTCCAGTTTATACACTACCAACCTCTCTTCATAATATCTGGAGTACTCTGATGCCCCATTGAGCCTTCAGACTGTTCATCAAACGGAGAGGGATGTGTCTTGATTGGACTAGCTGAGCCTATTCTTGACCTCTTGCCTGTCTGGGGTCTGAGCAATAAAACAATAACACCACCAAATTCTCAGTCAGTTTATCCTATCAAGTTTACTACTATCCAACTTGATATCACTGTGATTTGAAGAGAAATCCCATTCTTGACATGATGTGACATGACCTACAACCTGACCTTTATGCAGACTTCATTGCCTGTCACATTTTAATGTGCTGTGCTACCTTAAATATACCCATTAAGGTATACAGGCTGTTGTTGGATTGTAAGCAAAATTACAATGCCTACGACCTCTGACCTGATGGCCATGTTTACCTTGTTTTGATGTGTTGTGCAGCTTGTCTTATGTACTCATTGAGGGGTCTCTGTTGCTGTTGTAGTGCATTCATTGTCACCATGTGATTATTAAAATTCCTATGTTGGAATGGTGACAGGTTTGCGTGAGGGACAACTTCTACGGTGGTTTCAGGCTCAGCTGGACAACGGTTCCAGTTATCAGCGGAAGCTAGTATCAAGCAGAAAAATTAAACAGTACAATTGAGTACAATTACTTCATGTTAAATTTATCCACTGGAAAAAGATTATCGATGATCATGGCATTTCTGGGCATTTTTATGCTGATGATACACTGTTGGCATGCTTTGAGTTTTTCTGATGCTTCATCATTGTCTGTTGTTACTGCCAAACTGGAAACAAGTCTCAATGATATTCGTCACTGGATGATAGAAAATAAGCTTAAACTCAATGATTTGAAAAGTGAATTTCTTGTATTGCGATCTCCACATCAGAAACATTATTCTCTAAATGATGTCTGCTTTAAGATCGGTAACACCAATATCTATCCTAGTGAAGTTGCCCGCAACCTTGGGGTTGTATTCGATTGTAATTCAACTTTTCATAGACACATTTCACAGGTGGTCTCCACAGGTTTTTTCTATTTGCAAAAGATCACTGCTGTTAAAAAATATTTGCCCAGCAAACTTCTTGTTATCCTTCCATGCCTTTATAGCCTCACGGTTGGATTTTGGCGACGCGTTATATTATGGTCTTCCTTTGTATGAGTTAAATCGTCTCCAGAAGCTTCGAACTCAGGCAACTAGATTGTTATTAACAGGAACAAAGAAGAACGAACATATTTCATCAATTCTTGACCGTCTACACTGGCTCCCTGTTCAGCAGCGGATTAAATCTAAACTTTTAATATTTGCTTTCCGAGCCGTTTGGGGCACTGGACCTGCTTATCTCAGTCTCCCACTTTAACAATTTAAACGACAAACTAGAGTTAATTCAGCTCCAATTCTTGAATGGAAACGTCCAAAGAAAGTCAGTGCCGGAAAGTCAACTTTGGAATGACTTGCCTGTGTCCTTAAAACAAATTACACTTTTCTCTGATTTAAAGCGAATCTTAAGATCTATCTTTTTAATATAGTATTAGAGATGTTTTGTTAGAGATTTATTGTGTACGGTATATTATGTGTAGCTGTAATGTTTTGCTCATTTTTATTGTAGTTTAACAATTTAGTTTTAACTCCTTCTCAACGGGAATTTCTTTCCGAAAGCCGACTCCAAGAATTCCAGCCTCGCTTGGCCACGAAGGCCACCTGCCAAACTGCAAATTCTCAGTTTGTGGCCTAGCGTACTCTGCACGCTTTGAATTACACAGTGAAAAGGCTCATTGTTTGGTGGCATGCAACTCTACTCACACTTCCACATTCCCGTTGCCTCTTTTCAAAGTGGGGACCATTGTGAAGCTGGTAATTATCATGCAAATTCGGTCTTTTCATTTCTGGGCTACACACAAAGACCAAATACCACATACACAAGAGCCAGGGTCTGCCTTCTTTCACCGAGTTCGCTCGAGCGTGGGCCGAGAATAATAGCTGAAAAGCGGGCCGAGGATCTCAATTTTTACGTCGTGTCTTAATGCGTCCCGGCCTGAAGGGGTTAAGCGACACTATAGAAATTATTATTTTTATTATTATTAATTGCTTCATAATGTTCGGTAGCAATAATCAGCCACCTTTAATCTGTTGGAGCGAGTACAGTCTCCTATGATGAACTAGGAAGCAAGATCTTTATCTTCACCAAGTACACATTGCAAGGTTATTTCATGCAGAGACAGCATCTTACACTTAGGACTTCACCTTACAAAATAAAACCGAATGATCGTAATATATCATGCATGCTAGTCAAATGACACAAAGTGTAATGAAATGAACCAGGAACTCTGAATATAATGGTACGTCAAGACATGTACAAGTTTTCATCCTACACAATCCTCACAATCAACAAAAATCCAGCCAGCTGATTGGCTACAACCTGATCAGTGTACATTCAAACCCTCATCAACGTCACCTTATCCCCTTACCAGTGAATTGTAATCCAGCCAGCTGATTGGCTACATACTGCTGTGCTAAAGCTTTCTCATGATGCGGGCAGAGCCCGTCCATGTGAGCCATGGGAACACCTGAGGCACTCAATGAAGCACTGCCTGCAGAATAGCGGAATGATGGAACATCTATTTGGTCACCATGAAGATGGAGATGAAGATGGTGAATGTGTAGTCACGGCAACAGAAATAAAAAGATGAAATCAAAACGTAGTGAGAGGAAAAACACAAAGAAACAAGTGCATACAATACTGAAAGTGAGAGGTCAAGACCACAATTCCAATTACTGCTTCAGGATTACAGCACGACAGCCAGTTTGAGTTCCTAAATGATGCACTTGAATGTGTTCAATAATTGAGAATTCAGATTCTCAGATGAATACTGCAAGTCCTTCAATAAAGCTACTCCCTACTGCTCCGCTGTCACTTATTACTCAGAGCAGTTGTGCCCTTCTGCGTACAAAATTATCACAAATTGAGAACTGCGTCAACCATCAAGAGGCTTGTACCATTTATCAAGTGGAACCAATCAAACATTGAATTTAACAGGTGTCTCATGCTACTGAATTCTGTGCAGTGAATATCTGTCCTTTAGAATCAGTTGAAGTGACAAGCCATCCAGACTTTGATTTGTAGGCAAATGAAATGAGGTCACAACAGAAGGCACGAAGTATAAATTCAGTACATTTGCACGAAGTTCAACGCTCTCAAGCACACTGAAATTCAACAGTTTAGAAACAGATATGATGGCTTGCATTCCCAAATATACTGAAATAATATCAAGGTGAAACAGACTGAATATGTGAATTATTCAACACATTGAAGAAGAAACACAATGTCATTGTTAAAGTGATTTGAAAAGATTACAAGTGAAGACAGAAAACCAAATGTCATGAGTGCTCAAGGTATAACTCAATCCAAAGTTGCAGTCATGCTGCACAGGGTTGTACAGACACAGTAAAATATCATCAATGTTATTGGATTCAACGTACCTTGACTTGGTTTCAACACACCACTCATGAGGTAGGCATTGGTCAAAGCTTCCAAGTATTCAGTCTACAGTCAAATGAAAATGACAGGTGTCATTATCTCTTTCATCGTTGTAAATTTTACTTCTTCAATCAATTATCTGAGCTAATAATTAACTGAAACTACCAATGAGAAAAATATCAACATTGTAAACTTGAAAATAAACACAAAAAAAATAAAATGAGAAATAAGGTAGAAAGTATATAAAACACAATCTAAAAGTGGGACCCATTTTCTCACACCATAAACTCCTGGTCTCACACACAAGTTGAAGGCTGATCACCTATCTCCAAGCATTGCAATGGAAACAAAAGATTGTGGGTGACTCCAACACATGAACCCACAGTGAAATGCATTGAGATCAGCAACAGTTTAACTATCACAATCAGACATGATCCATCTGACCTGGGCGTCTTTCAATCCTAACAGCCTCATGATATAAGCTTACACTTGGGCTATTCTATAAATCAGGGGTCCAAGTTTTTTCATGAAGAACACATTCACAAAATTTGTTTCAGGAGAACACATTCTTTAATTTCTGAGAGTGATTAATTACATGTAATGCAAGTTACCTGCCAACCAAATAGAAATAGTTTGCAATCAATTTCAGTGATATTTCCATGTCAAATTACACAGGTCAGGTGTAACTGGGACACAAAAATGTCACACTTTTGACCCAAATTTATACAATTACTCATTTTTATAAGCACAGTTTGTTTTGAGACCAGATAAAAAATTCCCGTCCATACAGTCTAGACTAGACAACAAACTCCCATTCATACCTTCTTAATGTTCTTCTCTTCACATCTTTCCTGAGCAAATACCGGCATCCCATCTCCTGTCTTGTTGACGACAGATCTTGTCTTACCAGCAGAGTGTAATGTGGAGCGATCCATATGACGATACTTCATCTTCTGATTATCCTAAATACCACAAAATAACAGAATTTGTTGATTCCTTTCTAAGGCAAAACTACTTACATGTACATTCACGACAAAGACAACATTGGTGTTCTTTCAAACATGAAATAACTATGAGGCTCGAACTGGACCAACAGAGGGCACAATTTTCTTCGCAAACAACTTCGCAACTAGGAAAGGCACGTGTTATGATCACATCGCCACCAACAAAATGAGCACTCTGGACATATATGGCTTTTTTTCAACCAATGATGGGGTTGTTTCCGCTTGAGGAAGATATGCCAAGCGTTAGGGGTCTGTTCACTCCTGGATTCAGAGGCAAGTCGGTAATCTTAAACATACATGTGCAAGTACTGGATGACCTTGTTCAACATCAGCCCAATACCCATAGAACTGTTAGACCAGCAGAGTACCCTGTCTCTATATTTCCTCACCTTCTTTGGTGTGGATGGCTTCTTCTCCTCTTCCTTCTCTTTGGTTTTCTCTAAGCTACTCCTCTTTTTGTCTCGCTCTTTTCGCGTCTTCAACTTCTTCTTTTTGTTTAGCTATTGGAGAAAAAAACAATGGATTTTCCTTAACAGCATTCTGTTTTCATAGTATTACTTTCCTTTCACATATCTGGACATTTCCCATTTTTAATCCCAAATGACTGTGTTTGACACTCCTTGAGAGTCTGTGAGTCTAGTTTCAAGGACTTGTTTTCATCTTAACAGAAAAAGAAAACACAGCAGTGTGTTCTAGCAAGGAAACTCACAAATTAAACTACTCTCTGGGTACAATACACCCAGGTATAAAAAGTTTAAAACTACACAATCGTTGAACTTTAAGAAGTTGGACTTAAGTACCTTTGGTGCAAGAGCAAGCAAATGGACAGGCAATCCATCATCCACTGAGCTGTCAGAGCCAGTCGTGCTGCATAAACACATAAAAACAAACCAATTCAATTATTAGAAGTCTGCTATAAATAAGAGGAAATCTTTGACCATGCCGATCTAGTCCTGATATTTCACTGTCAAGTAGCCAGACACTGTATCTACAGTCAGATCAGTTTAACCTGCCAGACATAATTCTTCTCATGATGACCACTTCTTGTCTGCCCACAGTTGGATCAGTCCAAGAGTTGACCTGTCAGAGA